TTGTGATTTCTGTTAGTCCAGTCCCTGATTGCTTTCTTGGCAACTCCAATTGATATGCCGCAAGCTGGTTCAGGTCCTGTGAACGGCTGTTCAGATCATGTTTTTGTCAGTTGATCTGCGGTTTCATTCCCTACAATACCCTCATGACCTGGCACCCATATCAGTTGTACTCTGTATGAGGGATTGGTGGCAGTCCGAAACCAGTTTTGAAGGGATTTAGTGTGTACCAAGTGCTTTAATTGCTGCTTGGCTGTCTGATAGAATGTAGATGTTCATATTTCTACAGTTGCTATCTAAATTCTCAACTGTGCATACCTTGATGGCATACACCTCTGCTTGAAATACTGTTGTGTACTGGGCGAGACTGAAGGTATGCTTCAGCCTCGTACCATCACAATACACCCCAGCTCCAGTGCCTTTATTTTTCTTGGAACCATCTGTATTCCAGATTATTCCCCCCCCCCCTTTCTATCAGGTTGAAACCCCTCTTTCCAGTCACTTCTATCAGGAAATCTGATCATGAAGGGTCTATCATAAACATGTTTCGGTAACATTTTATCAGATCCCGTCTGTAGAATGGGTTCTTTTTTCATGTCCTGAGTCATGTATGCATATCCAAAACCTTCAGATTTAGATCTCTACACTTCCAGCTAGGGCTGAGGTCAAGAAAACGTGGATTTATGCATCCACTCCCCCATACGACTTCATGGCATAGTGCTTAATTCGTTAAGCACGGGGACAACTTTACATTTTATCTTTTGCAATTATGAATGTGTAGACCTAAGAACGTTAATATTTTTACTTCTCCTTGAGCAAGCATTAGCTCACTCAGTATAGTGACTGGCTATCGGCTGAATGGTTGGGTTCAATCTTAAGAGCTAGGTTGACAAACTCAGATGGAATAGCAACTGGCTACAGGCTGAATGTATGCGTTTTGATTATAGGAGATGAACCACTATAGCTCATTCAGTACAGTGAGGGACTGTTGGATGGATGACCAAGGTTTCTTTAGAAGAGCTAATCCAGGTAACTCAACCAATGTAATGACTGGCTACTGTCTTGAGAACTGGGGTTTGACAGTGACTGGCTTGATGACTGAAGTTTTATTAGGGAATATACAAGATTGTGGAGCACACACTTTCTCATTGTCTCTTTTGTTTAATTATCTCAGAAAGCATAAAGTGTGAGAGATCTGCATTGTAACCCAGAGATTCATTCAACTGCTGGAAAGGATACATTCTCACATCACTTCTAACACTTTGCGCCCACCTACCTTCCCTCATTAGTTGGCACAGAACCAGTCTGCCAAATTATACTGGGTGGAACTGTTAGATATTGCACATGAATGAAGCAAGCAGAGTCATTCAGACCTGTACTTCAAAGTGTGAAGCGAATACATTTATCCTTTTTATACATCCGAATTATTTCCATACTTCTCTGAGGAACATGCCGAAAATTGCTACAGATGAAAACTTGGCAAGATGAACATGTAACGTGAGAAAAAGATTGCAGATATGGAAGGATTCGATAAGAGTACGATCTTCAGGGATGTAATGCCTCGAAGTTCGGTAGAAGGCCACCAACATTTTGGAGGATACTCTTCATAGTAACCGCGTTGAACAGCACAAAATCAAGAATTCTATAGGGTACAGCAATCGAATTATTCAGAATAAATTATTCGATTACGCCCATTAGTACAAAACTCTGCTCTACTCTATTTAGCTGTTATGTGATCCGTCTATCGTGTTAATCTGTGGTAGGATCGGTAGGATCGAGTAGGATGGAAGCAGGATGTTGCGGTTGCTTTGAAAATGTTAATGTTATATCTCCAGTAGAGACATAATATGTTGTGTAATATTTAATACGGATAAAGTGAGTAGAGTTACGGTTGCTTTATGTTATTTCTAATGTACATTTGTGTGTTATATTCCTCGCAGTTCGAATGTCAGAAGTTAAAATTTTCGTCCTGCTCGTAGTACGTTGAGAACTATTGTAATTTACACAGTTTATGTTATTAAGACTTGAGAGGATTGTCGTAGAAAGGCTAATTTACGAATTTAGTTGTAAGAAATCAACTTTATCTAATCTAACTTAGCTACGAGACTCAATTCAACCAACTTAACCTACAATTATAAAAGACAAGTCCGTCCAGTGGTCCAGTGGGTCCAGCCTGACTATTTGAGTTTTCTCGCTTGATGAGAAAACTGAAATAGTCACACTGGACGGACTTGTCTTTTATAACTGTAACTGTTAGTGTGACGGACCAAAATGAAACAAATCAAAGTCAACTTAACCTAATTTGCGTGTATGTCTATGACTGGGAAAAATGGTGTAGGCATTTGTGTTGTAAGTACACATTTGCTTTTAGACAAATTTCATCATTAGATCGCAGTGTTGGTGGTTACTGTAAAATTTGTATGCGTGCTTGTGTCTAGTTACATAATTTCCATATCCATCCCATGACAAACGAAATCGTCAATCCACAACATTTCACGCCATGCGAGTTTCAGGACCTTTACATACACACACACACACACATCTATATAAATAAATATTAAATACACTGTATTTTACTTTTCAGCCTTCTGAACACTTCAAAATGTATAGTACATCTCAGAACTTTGTGACAGCAATAATAGATGAGATTGCTCTGGAAGGATTAGATGGAATCACATTGGAAGGTGAAATATATTTTATTATTCAGTGTGCATTTCTGTTCATTGTATTTATGAATTTCTTTAGTACTGTATTACTGTTTTGCATTATTTCAGCTTTGTGGACTCGCATATCTTGTAGACCAAATTTTACATGCATACTGGATGAGAAGAGTAAAACTTTTATTTGGAATGTAATCAGACAGTTGGATGATGTTGAGATTTACGAATTACCAACGGCAAGGAAAACTCTTGTCATATTCAATCGCTATGATAATGTTGATCCAGAACTTGGAATGATTTTAGAACCAGTAAGTATGCTGTTAAGTTAGGATCATTTGTTTCATTGAGGGCAAATTTATTGTAGTCAAATAATTGTAAATCTGTTTGGAATTTCATATTACTGTCATCAAGTATACAATGAATATTTGTAATAAGAGTATGTGAAATATTATACTGAAAGGAAATTGTGCTAGTGAAAACTAACATGAAACAGACTGAATGGGACAGTCTCTCAGATGTTAATTGCAGAAAGGTACATTTTAAAATGTGGTTATATCATGGCCTTAATTAAAATGTAGTTTTGTAGCATTGATCCTCTGCACTTTTAGTGAACCCTTGGTGGGTTTTGCATTGCATTGCATTCCATGGATCCAAAGTTAGTCAAAATGACTGTAGGATGTGGAATGTGTCATATAAATACAAAACATATGTACAGTCTCAATACAGTTCTCAAACAAGAGAAACCAAGACTACACAGTGACTACACACAAGGCTATATAAAGATACATAAGTTATTATCTAGACAATAGGTATTCATCAACAAAGTAGAATGAATGTGTATTTAAGTATCATTTCAGTGCTATTTTAAATCGTGCCTTTTCATTCATAAGACCTCTGAGATCAGATGGCAGGTTATTAAAAATGTTGATCCCAGCATAATATGCACCTTTCTGAAAGCATGAGAGGTTTGTTATATTAACTAGGTTGGCTGATTGGTTTCAGTTTGCTATGGTTATTTTAAAATGACAATGTTTTATAAGGATGTGGTTACTGGATTTATAAATTTTGAGAAAACTTATGCCAATATAAAGAGAGAAAAGATTGGTCAAAATTAGGAAGATTAAAATTAGCAGAATGTTTCAGAGAAAAGGTGAGGCTAATATTCAGTGACTGTACAAATTGTATGAAGACAAAATTGGAATGATCAGCACAGTTCAAAACAAATGGTGGAATGTCGTAAATCAAATTTTGTTTAATGCCAAGATGGATGAAATTGCTAATTACAGGAAAAAATTAATGACCAGGCATTAAAACATCAATGTTTGATCTAGGGGAAAGCATAAAGGAAATTGAAGAGAAAGTGATTAGTGGAAACTTTCTGTCAAGGAGTATGGGCTGAAAATGAATATGGAATGGACATTGATTGTCAGGATTTTAAGGAACCTTGACAGGAACATCAGGAACAGTCATTCATTTGAGTTGTAGCTGCCATGTTTAGAGGATATACGGTGCATTTTTCTGAAGTTTCGTGCACTTTCTGTAGTATATTTATTTGCCATATGTTTTGTTGTGTTTCCTTTCATGAATCCTAGACTGTGTATACTGTTGTGTATCTGTATTGACTGTATTCAGTTTTTTTTTTCTGCAACATAAAACTGAAGCCCAGCTGGTCACAGTAGCCGAGCGGTCTAAGGCATTCACTGTCTTCGCTCGCTTGGAAGCCGAGATCATGGGTTCGAATCCCACTTAGGTCATGGATGTTTGTGTGCGTTTTTCTGTGTTTGTGACGAGCTGATCACTTGCCCAAGAAGTCCTACCGTATGTGTAAGATCTAATAAAACCGAAGTGAACTGAGTTCATGGAGGTAGGCCTAGGCCCACTGGGGCTGTAGTGCCAAGGGAAAAAAAACTTATACCCAGAGAGAGAGAGAGAGGAGATCATGTTCATTTTCTGATTGTTGCCAACATATTTGAGAACAGCTAATCTCTAAGCTAATTATTGTATGTTGTGTTTATAGTCCTTTCTGTATTTTAATTTGTTTTCAGGCCTGATCATTTTCTGAGTATTATAGTTATAATAATGAGAAAGAAATCTCTGAAAATCTCCAGTGTTAGAAAACAAAATCTGTACAGACTGAGTAAGATGCATTGAAATTTGGACCCATTGAATTGACACAGTGTATATATACACATCCTGGTGCACCTGTCAATGAAGTCTTTCCTGAATATGTACACATAGAAGCCGCTCAGCTTCCCATCCTTCAAGATGAACTCAGTAACACAGTGGCAGGAGGATGCCTGAAGTTCATAAACTTTGGGAAGTCAGAACCATTTAAATATCAAGGGGACACCCATCTTGACTTTCATTTGCACTCTAGCCAGCCAGTGGAAATCCCTGGCACTAAAGCCAGGAACTTTCATTGGGTCCAGTAGCTCTTGTAGTTGGAGCCATGATCAGCATTGTCTTCCATTCTGGGCATTCTGCAGCCCCCACTTCCTGCAACACCAGTCCCACCTCACACTCATATAGCAATTTCCTCCTCAGGGTAAGATGGTCTCGACTATCTGCAGCCATGCTCAAAATAGCCTGCCTGGCCATCCCTCAACTTCAAATTCCATTTGGGCAGATTGGATATTATGTCCTTCATCTCTTTTTGGTGAACCCAGGCTATTGCTTATCGTGGCCTTCATCTCTTCCTGACTGGTCCTTATGCAGCCATGTAGGTGTTCCAGGCTGCCCATAATCAGTTGCCATGCTGGATCTCCCATTGTCATGTGAGCTCTTGTACTATTTCCTTTCATTATAACCATTTACTATTGGCTGTTTGTGGAGCACTGGTCTGCTCGTACATCTTGCTTTCTTGTTACCCCATTGCAGAATACTTAGAATCAGTCGTGCTTCTTATAAACCCTCTTCAAAACTTAGGGCTGGAGTCCCACCAGTGATAGCCTGACTGTTGCATGGTTTCATTCTTATGAGACAGAAATTATGCTGTGTTGCCTGGTGATGGGTGTCCCCCGATATTTCTGCTGTCCCAACCTTCCTGCATTTAGGCTATGAAAGTTTATGGAAATTTCAGTTTTTACTACATTGAAAACCAATTTTTACTTTAAGATTTACTGTTAACGATGCATACTTCTGTTGCATAAATAAGTGAGGATTCTTAAATATTGCCTTCTGTACAAAATAATGTTCCTTCTTTCTGCCATTTGGCAGTTCTCCAGTGCAGTCACGTTAGAACTGCCTGCAAAATTGTTGAGCTGCTCAGGCAGAAGCTGCCTAGTCTTGCCACAAAGAGTCAGACCATTAGCAAATTGCGAAACGGTCAAAATGCTGTGTGCCATCAATGCTAGGCTTCAGTTTTCTTCTCAACAATCCATTGGGCACATTGCATAGGAGCCCAGGGTTCCAATTTTCAAGTTCATTCTGTATCCAAAAAGGAACTACTGTGTATGAGTGTAAAGTTCTTGTGGAAGTTGATACTAATATAAAAAGTGCATTCATAACAATAGGGAGCATTTCCAGCATGTGCTGTAATCTGGGTAAGTTTTGTGTGTAATTTGTTAGACTCGCCTGTCAGTTGCACAAGCCCAACTAGACGTGAGTAGAACCAGGCTGTTTTCACCAGAGAATCTGAACAGTTGGCTTTAAGCCCTGTGTGCTAGGTCTTTTGATGTTTGCCAATACTGCACTGATTTTTCATGGCTCAGTGAAACTTTTCCTTTAGAGTGTCATCCCAGAAGACATCTATCCACACTGTCCAGTAGAGGATGGTAAAGGGAAGATCAGGGGATCCTGTTCAACATACAATCAGCGTGTTAATGTCTCACGGATTGCACGGAAACTTACCCTAGGAGAGGTTTTAGAGCGGTAAGTGCAGTAATTAAAATAGATGTAATGATAATTCCATTGCTTCCTTAACTGACTAAATCCATGCAGCTGAACCATTCTTGATAAGCTGATAGTCACTCAGCTATTCAAGAATTTCTCAACATTTTATGGTTCATTGCCACATTCACAAGAACCCTCCATTGGCCCCTATCCTGAACCAGATTAATCCAGTCCTTATCACCTGACCCTATTTCTCTAAAATCCATCTTAGTGTTATCCTCCCACATACCTGTATGTCTTCCTAATGGTCTCTTTCATTCTGGTTTCCCACCAGAACCCTGTGTGCATTTCTTTTATGCTACGTGTGTGCTACATGTGCTGCCCATTTCAGCCTCTTTACTTCATTATAATTGTATTTGGCAAAGAATACAAGTTATGAAGCTCCTTGTTATGCATTTTTTTATCCTACTATTTCATTATCTTTTTTCCAAATGTTCTCTTCAGCACCCTGCTCCCATATACCTTGGACAATATTCTTCCCTTATTGTCAGAGAACAAGTTTCACTCCCATAGAAAACTACAGGCAAAATTGTAGTTCTGTTTATTTTAATTTTTAGGGATAGTAATCATTATTTTGTGGCTCTTGACACTTTTACATTTCCATTCATGTTTCTGCGGCTATGTACTGTATATATTAATATACAACATCTCCAACATCAATTTATAGGCCTCTNTTCTTCTTATTATTTTATTATTGTATCATTGTATTGTCTTATTGTATCGTTGTATTGGATTATAGAGTGTTTTGACTTGTCCTATGTCATGTATCCATGGATGTGAAGTGAATAAATAAATAAAATATTGTCACATGTTGGGTGTATAACGTGACAAATAACTTCATGCCGTCTTGAATATAGTGAATTTATTGCACATTTGCTCTCACAATTACACAGTTTACAATTTTACAACTACTGCCATCTGCAGTTTCACAAATACTTCTCCTGTTTCCATTCACTCTGGCGAATGCTAGACTGCTACTGACTGGTTACTCAATACTCACTACTCGCTCACTGACAAATACTCCTGTTATGTAGCTTCTGCACTGACAACATGGAAAACAGTTACGTGATAGCTTTCACTGTTGTATGATGTCGTGTTTACCGATTGCCTAGCAACAGTCGCTGCACGGGCTCCCCTGTTGCATGATGCCATGTTTACAAAAGCGTTGCTGGGCAATGCTGCATAGCAACCAGTGCACTTCGGCTCAGCTCGGACAAACGCCGCTTTCCTTACTGTTGCGTAACTTGGCAAACGACTGTTTATCAAGGGTCTGTCTTCATGATAACTTGTTCCACCTCCCATTGCCCAGCAACAGTTAGACATGTAACACTATTTTCTTCTTATTAGGCCTGTTCTCTGTATGATCTTTTTGCTTTAGCATGATACTTTGTGATGTTGAACATCTAAAATTTGCCCATTTTACTGTGTAATAATGTGTTTACATGACCTAATTTTTATTTCCTTGGTGTTATTAAACTTGAGTCGGAATAGCTCAGTCAGTATAGTGATGGGCCACATGCTGGACAGCTGGGGTTCAATTCCTGGTGAGGACAAAGTTTTTCTTTTCTCCGTACCATTCATGGTGACTCTTGGGCCCACCCAACTTACTGGGTACCAGGGGCTCTCCCTGAGGTTAAAGGATCTCGGGTGTGAAGCTGACCACTCACCTCCATCTCGTGTCAAGGTCAAGAATGATGGAGCTATACCTCCACTCTCCCATATGTCTTTGTGGCATAATGCTTAATTAATTAAGTACAAGGAGTGCACTTTTAGTGTCACATTCCCGATACCCTTTGTGTGATTCACTTTCTCTCCTTACACTCTATATCTCAGAGAACTTCTGGGCTACCCACATTGTCCATTGTATGAATTTTATTTCACTAATTTACTGAGAGAAATATTGGTATAGTCAACAAAGTGCACCATATCCAGGATGGCACAGAGGCCCACCTAATCTCTTATAGGTGCATACTGGGGCTTTTTTCTTTTCCAGGGATAAAGTGACTAGAGTTTGAAGTTCATTACTAATTTTGATAAATCTGTAAAGATTCATGTGCTCACTGCGTGATGCTCAAACCTGGGCACGTTTCTCCTTTTACTGACTCATTGTTAGTTTTCCTCTTGCACACTTTGATTTTAATGTGTATTTAAGTTACCTTATTTATTCATACAGTATATTACTGTTATTTTCGCCATATATTTTGACTAAAGTGTGCCGTATCAGTGTTGTACATTAATACATTCAATAATAATACAGTAATACTTTCAGGTAATTGTTGAGAACATTCTTATTGAAAATAAGTCTTTGTAGAGAAATATGTTCAGGATTTTTGACTAGTGTAGGCAGTGTTTAAGTTAAATGTGACATTGTTTGCATTTTGTAGACATCCAGGCTGGGAATGATGATAATGCTTGTGTTTATTTCAGGTAACAGTGGTTATTTTTTAATCTGAAATTTTCTAGAAAGAAAAAATTCCGTAATTTTCCCCATTATTATGCCTAATGAGCTTGTGGGTACTGCAGGATGGAGTATTCCAATTTTTTTAAAGTTTGCCGAAGAGTCTTCTGCCTTAGTGGAATTCAAACATTTTTGGGGTGGGACGGGGATCCTGTCAGAGATGATGGTGGTACCATTAAGTGGACTGGCAGTAGTGACATAGGAATCTTTATCTCCACTGTAGAATAACTGTGAAGTCACCCAGCCTGTAGTTAGAAAACATGAAACTTTGCCTCCACATCCTTTATATTCCTTCAGGATGTAATTCTTAGTGTAAGGGTAACTTTATATGTAAGGAGAAGTCATCCCTGGGCTTAATTAATTAAGCACCATGCCATGAAGATGTGGTGGAAGGGGGAGGTACAGCTGCACTATTCTTAAACTCAGTGCCTGTTGAAGGTGAATGGTCAGTTACATGCCCCTGCCACTTTGCCCCAGGGAAACATCCTCCTGGTGCGCCTTGTGTAGCAGGCCAGGTGAGCCCCAGAGCCAGTCAGGACATTATGGAGGAGAGAGGTATGTCTTGCCCTGTCAAGAATCAAACTGAAACCCTTGGTCATCCAGCCATAGCCTAGTAATCATACCAACTAACTATCCTAGCTCACTGCATGTGATCTTGTTAGTGTGGTGATGGTTACAAATTTTTGTGTGAATATTGAAGAGAATTTTGATTGCTAAAAGAATTTGGGGGGGAGGGACATCAAAGTTGTGTGATGTGTACATGAATAAGTATGGCAAAGTTTGTTGAGGCAAGCTGTGATAATAGGTATTAGGATTAATTTAGATTACTTTTGTAGGTGGGATCTCAAGTTGGCTCTTGTAGCCACACAAGATGCCAGGAACACTGCACTGATGGGGCTTAATGTTAATCCTGGTTTAGAACTGACCGTCATGCAGTACTGTCTTTTAGAGAGAATTGGTCGGTCCCGTTACTTGGGAGAGGTTACTCAAGGCAAGGTCAGCCTGCAGGTCCTGGGAGAAGATCCAAAAGCATTGTTCTATCTTCGAAAATATCTGATGAAGCACAAACTTATAGTAAAACAGGTATGGAATGTCATTTTTAATTAGAATTGTAGTATACTTAAAACTTTCTTGCTTCAAACTGAAGTATTTTAATTATTTGGTTTTCAGGTTCACCAGCAGAAGTCTGGGACCCAGAATTGTACTGGAAGTTTACTGCATCTTCCGAGATTTCAAGTAGAACGTAAACCCAAAGCTTTATTTCTCACAGAGAAAATTATTGAGATTCTGAAAACTCGTGTAGATTGTATAGCAGAATATGAAGAAATACGCAAGGAATTGGGGATGTCCAATTCTTTAAAGAAATTATTCAAAACACTGGAATTCCAGCGCTATGTGAAAACAGATGTGGTAAGATTCTTGCTTCATAGGCGTGTAGTTCAGTGGTTTCTGTGGCATACATGATGTGCTGCTTGTGTATTTGTCCCATATAGTAATATGTGTTACATATTAATGAACAATTTTTAGCCTATGAAGAAAGTCGTCTTCTGGGTTTTGGCGCCGTGTATTATTCGTTTTGGCCAACGTTTCGGAGGAACGTTGGCCAAAACGAATAATACATGGCGCCAAAACCCAGAAGACGACTTTCTTCATAGTCATCACCGTGAAAACCTCAAAACTTACAAATTTTTAGCCTAGTTTCCTATTTTGAAAAGGTGAAAGTAGGCCTATGCAATCTCCATGCTGTCTGTGTCTCAGTATCCCCCCCATATTAACTTTTGAATGGCTGAACTGATCATTATGAAACTTGGTATGTAAATCCTGGCACCTGAGTCTGTCTCAATGGCATACTGCTTAAATCCAACCCATCAGTCTATGTGTCAATATGTGTATCCCCTATCATTGATAGGCAACAGCTCAGTAAAAATGTTACTGCAACAAGAGAAGAAATGTTGGACTTGTCATTTTTTATGTGGTCTGTGTTGTTTCAAGGAAAGTAGGTGATTAGTTCTTCCTAAAACATTGTTTTAATTATACATAAGTGGTGGCCTATTACATCTGATTGCTAATAAAATGTAACCATATCCCAAAAATCTGCTGATCTCTTTGAATCTGTAAGTAATGAAGAGAATAAATTTTTGAAACTGAAAAATTGTCACTGATTTGACAGCTTTATTAATTGATAACATTTTTTCTCAGCATGCGATCTTTTTGTTTATATACAATTTGGTTTGTTGTGATGTAAGTGGCTGCCATACCGTCACCTCTATCCATCAGCCAGCATCTCAGAGTGGAAGCAAAAAGGCAGTGACAGGGAAAAGAGGATTCGGGCAATTCAGCTAATCAATCCAGACATGGATGTTCGTGAGATATGGGCTAAGGATGATGAGGTAGAAGAAGAAGATGATACTTCTACAGGTGTTTATGCATTCCTGACTTATCATTCATATTCATGAGTTCCATTAACCAGTTATGTTCTTTAAACATGAATGGAAGTCATACTCAGACTGATTTAATTTCTGTAACGATTTTTTTATGGGCACAGTATTTTGCTTTAGGAAGTATATCATGCAAACTAATTAATAACGATTAAAAACTTGGAAGTGCAAGGAGATTAATTGAGATCCTGCTGAAAATCATTCTCCCAGGCCAGGAGAAGAGACGTGGTTCTTGCAGCAACCCTTCCTGAAACACAATTGGCAATCCCATGGGCCAACAAATCACAAATAATCCCTGTTGTTATTCACAGATTCCTTGCACCTCCATAATATGTTCATATTTATGCGTTAAAGTTTCCCTTCAGAAATGGAGAAAATTTTGAACCTGGGACTTTAAACCCTGATCTCCTATGCAAGGCAGCAATTGGATTTTTGTGAGGAACGTTCAAACTTAGAACCAGTTTCATCGAGTTTCTCTTTAGGAAACGGTAAATTTTTTTTTAGATTTTAGATCTCCCCTACACAAAAACCATGCTTGTCCCAGCTCCCTTCCCCCCCTCCCACACTACTGTTTTCACTTCCCCCCTTCCTTCTCTGCTCAAACATAGCTGTGTATATTTCCACCACAGTCTGCTTTTACCGGTTCTCACGGTCTCTTCGCTTGCAGATTTCTTATATTTTTTCTTCTACCCTGAAGATGGAGGCGATACGTTCCTCCGAAACGTCGGTTAACACCACATATACACGGTGCCAAATCCCAGGAAACTGCTTTCTTCATTGTCCATAGTTTCTTGAAAGTTAAGATTTGATCCTTAAAATCCCAGGTAAACTACTCGTTTTTTTGGCTAGTTTTGAGGGTGAACCAAAATTTCTATGGGAGCATCATTGAGTACTGTGTTCTGTGTAACGAGAATAGGCAATGCTTTCCGTGGACTCTTGTCGCAGTGGGATACAGGGTAATGAGTATCTGAAGGTAGGGAGGGACCAAGCACATTCCTCAGCCCCAGATCACTTATTTCAATACTGCCATGTGCAGGTAGGCTCAAGGTTAAAGAGTGATTGAAGAAGAAAGATTCTAAACACTGAGCTATCCAGCATTGGGTATGGGGTGGCCAGAGTTATTTATTGAAGGGCTCTCACTGAAGCTCTCTGGGGTGTTACTGACATTGGACAAGAAACCATGTGGACTCCTGACTGGGATATTGACTGGCCACCAGTTACTGAGTGCCACATAAATATCATGGGCATCTCAGAAAGCATCTTATGTAGAAAATGTGACCAGGAAGAGGAACCCTTCTGTCATACTTGTAGTACTTTGGCAGCGCCCAACTGTAGCTAGGTGCAGGCATGAGAACTCTAGTTCAGAATGCTTAGAGCCAGTAGATATCAGGACCTCAGTCAGAATAGTTCTTACTCAAGCATTGCAGGCAGGGCTCTTTGTACAAAAGTTCCAACAAGTTCTGGGAGAACAATAACTGAGTGTTGCTATGGGTGCTAGGAACAACTCAAAGGTCCCCACCCCCCCAGTAAGTCAGTACAATACAATACAATTTTTTGTTTATTGATTACTGCTGTATATTCTTTCGTCAGGTGTAATGAATACAAGTGAGCTGCTTCTTGATCGGCCTATTCTGTCACAGGCCTTTAATGTTGTGGAGAATGCTGGTCCGGAGGGCGTAAGTCAGATGGAGTTGAGTATTAAAATGGGTGTGTCTAGACTTCAGGCCAGAACATTGTGCCGAAACCTGATGAAGAAGGGCGTTCTTTCAACATTCATGAATGATGTTGGCAGGCAGAGAGTGTGTAGGTGAGAAGTATACTGTGATGTCTGTTGTGTAGTAATACTTTGCTGCCTTGGCCACTTTTGTTTCCACTACAAAGAGGCCAACTTACAAAAATATATGCAGTTAAGTCTATTTATATACTGACCATTAACATATATTTTATTGATCTGCAGCAAAACTCTGCTAGCATGCACATGCATACACACACAGATGTCTGCTTTTCTTCAGAAGCATGAAACTGCATCCTGAGGGCAGCTGAACTACGTAGGTAAGCTGAAAAGTAATGCACACATGCTTGTAGAGCGCGAACAGAATGACCTTCAGAAGCGCCCCAGGTGGCATGTGGAAGTAACATTCCCCCTCAATACGCATGCGCAGGTTTGAGGTCGTTGCGTTCATCCAGTGTATTTCGAGAAGCAGAAGTATGGAGACGTGTTCTAGTGCTATGTCAACGCGAGTTAAACAGCGTGCTGTTATCGAATTTTTAACTGCTGAAAAAGTGACTCCTACTGAGATTCATCATCATTTAAAGGCTGTTTATGGTGACGATGCTGTTGATAGGTCTACTGTAAATCGATGGGTAATAACATTTCGTGGTTGCGAGCCTGGAAAAGCCATAATTGTTGATGAAACACGCAGCGGACATCCGATCACTGCCACAGATGATAATCATCTCAAACTCGTCAATGATTTGATTCAAAATGACCGGCGAATCACTCAGAAGCGTATCGCAAACCATATTGGAATATCCAAGGAACGTGTCGGCTTCATTATTGAACAATTGGGATACCGTAAAATCTGTGCACGATGGGTACCACACCGTCTCACAGACGAGANCGAGTTTATGTGACCGATTTTCTGGAACGAGGGGCAACGGTAAATTCTTCTCAGTACATACAGACTCTAAAACACCTCCGGCGTCGAGTTTGTCGTGTTAGAGGCAGCCTAGCACCAACAATCTTGCAACATGACAATGCTCATTCACACAGCTCATGCGCAACTGAAGAGGCTCTGCGAAACCTGAAGTTTGAACCGATTCCACACCCTCCTTATTCCCCCGATCTTGCGCCTTGCGATTTTTATTTTTTTCCTCTACTCAAGAGAGACCTCAAGGGTAATCATTACACCTCAGACGATGAGGTGAAGGCAGCTTTTCAAGTCCTGGATTCGAGAAAAGTCGGAAGAATTTTTCAGTGACGGAATGAAAAAACTTGTTACACGTTGGGAGAAATGTGTTAGCCTTAACGGTGACTATGTTGAAAAATAAATATATGCTTTTGAAACTTAAGAATTGTACTTTAATATACTTTTTGCCCGATCTTGCTATTTGTTTTTGTTCGCACTCTACAAGCATGTGTGCATTACTTTTCAGCCTACCCATGTATAAATTAATAGTTACACAATTTATAATCCACTTATATATACAGTTTATGCTGTATGTTTTTCCTTCTCTCTTTTTTCTTCTAGCATCATTTCCATTGTATTCATATCATAAATATATATCATAAAGTCTGCAATCTCTTATTTCTTCCCACAATCCTCCCCCCACCCTTAGTCTTACATTGTCAGGTGTAACTTCTGATGAATTTTGTGCATTCACCTTTCATGTAAGTGTTAACACACTATTTATGATATATATCTGTACAAAATTTCGTATGTGTAAATCCAACAGTTCTCTGATATTGCCATTAAACCGAAAGCTCCATAATGATTTATCTTCACCACCATGTGTTGTTTTACGTTTTATGAAAAATTACTTCACAAAAGTTGCATATTTTTCAACTATCTATAACCTCGCACAATTTGAGGGCTCTGTGTTGAATGTAACCAGAGAAGCTTGCAACTGATATCAGAAAACTAAAGAGTGCAAAGGTGGGATTGCATCTAAGGACATGGTGTTCATGAATTTCATGTCATATACTATATAAGCTATTGGGAAAGTGGAAAGTATTTTAGACCTACCAACAGTCATTGAAAATTTTCCATTACATGCATGGAGAACAGAAAACTTTCAAACCAGTGCTGGATTATGATGAATCTTTCATTCAGCTAAAACACATATGTTTAGAATGAACCCATGAGAGGCAAACTGTTTCATAGTTTTTGAAGATGCATCAAGTTCTAAATATAATTCTTGATCCATGACCTGTAATAGTGAAACTGCTGAGCAGGTTGGTGTGGCACTAAGCACTCTAGACTTGTGTTAGGAAGGCGCTTGGTTTGAATATCAACTGGGACATGAGCTATTGTGGCAGATTTTTTTTCTCAGTCCCTACAGGAAGATATTGGGATAATATCTTGAGTGGGTCATGACCACTTCCTCCCATATTCTTTACAGTTCATTATTCACCAGTCATCTGACCATTCAAGAATGTATAGTTTGAGACACCAACAGTGTTATAAAGGAAGCCACAAACCAAATATTATGGAATGCTGAGTATTCATATCGCAATTATCTGAATCCCTGCACCCAAGGAATGCAGAGTCGTGTTTCCACTCACTGAGTCAGCTTATGTGGTTGTTGTTCCTGTCCATTCATTTGAAAATGTTAATTTTTATTTTTCTTGTTTCTTCTGTTTTAAAAGTTTTTTTGGTTTTTACTGTTATACTGTAATAGCCCAGTACATTGCAGTACTGTTATAATATGGTTTTTCATGGATAAGAATTTAGTCCAATTACCCAAATTTTTTATTATGAAAACCACGTTTCCCATTAATTAATTTGGGTAACCAGTGTTCAGCTATACAAATCTAAATACAGTCAGCTGAGAATTTGGAAGTGGCCACTCCAATATAGTGAAGATTTTGGTAAGAAATACAACCTGTTTTCCAGAATCATGTAAGAGAAAACTAACTGTCCATGTTTCCAGATACATGTGCAAGAAATTTGTAAAGGAAGGCAAGATGAGTGTTGACTTCATGCGGGAGAAGGAGAAGATGCTCACCTTTCTTGGACGTGAGAGGAAAAATAAACAGTCGAAAAATAAAGTTAAATCAGAGAAAAAGTCTTTCTCTGAGGAGAGGAGGAATGCACATAAGAATCAGAAACGTCTTCATGAAGAAGAATCAACAGATAGCAGTGATCTAGAATTGAAGAGAATGAAGGTTGACCCTGATGAGACACGAGAACTGGCTTCTCAAGAAGAGCCACCTTCTGATATTCAAGCTGCTTTGAATGAACAAAAGATTGAAACCCAAATTTTAGAAGACATGGAAGATGTTCTCGGAGTTAAGGAGTAAGTACAAATATCTGAGAGAATTTTATTCAGATAAAATATGACTTTTTGAAAAGGGAGACTGAACTATTGGTCTCTCAGTTATCCTGTAGTTTCTTCTCCTCTTCCTGCAACTTGTATTTAATTTTATTTCTTCTTATTCTTCTTTGAGTACTCTTTGCATTCATGCCTGTAGTACATCTTCATTTCATGTCATGTTTTTCACTGACTAGTACAATTTTCAGATTTGATGCAGTAATATTTTTATTGATTTTCATGAACCCATTCATGAATATGGTCATGCCAGTATGAGTAGCAGTGGTATATATTGGTTGCCTGTTATGTTTACATATTTCAAGATTTCATCACAACAGGGTGACATGTACACAGAAACTGTATTTTCTTTTATTTAAAAAAAAAAGATTCATGTATATGCAAAAATTGCCTAGGCAGTGCCCATTCAGCCCTCTGCAGCACATTCTTATAAACATCTTTTTCTATCATAGCGGTCACCCTGCAATTTTTTTACATCTCTCTTAAATTAACTCTGTTACTGTTAATGTTACCAAGAATATACTTCTTTTTCTTTTTAAATAACTTTAAGAATTTTGTTTATGAAGTAACAGATGCACAAATCTTTTTCATCTAGCCTTAAGAGCTCTGTAACTGACTTTGGATATTCTTTTTTGCTATTCTCAGACAAAATATCTGTCAGTGTTGACCATTGGTCCTCATACACTTTACAGTCCCAGAAGATATGTTCCTCCATTTGCAGCCTATCACCGCAGGAACTGCATAAGAAGTCTTTATGCATGTTACATGTTTTGGGAGTAATGAGAACTTGGTGATCCTTTTACAGTGGACTTTTGCTTTTGCTGTCTCAGATGTTACATGCTTGTTGGTTCCAGCCATAGGCTCATAGACAATGTTAAATCTTAAACCCATTCTGTATTTATTCAGATCTATGTTTTTCGCAAATTTTCACTTCAATTTTCAAGTCATGGGAGGCAGTATATAGCTGAGATAGTCAAATTTCCATTCCAGACTTTGATTATTCAGTGTATAGTTTTTGTGAAAAACAAGCATTAAAATGCATATTAGGGAGAGAGAGTGATGTTCTTTTAATTTACTTTTTGTTTCATAGATTTTGAGTAGAAAGTAATGCATTTTTAATCAAAATAATTCATCATATAATTTAAAAAGCTTAAAGAAACTTAGGGCGTTTCAAGCATTTGGGTATTCAAGTTCTGTCAATCAAGGGATTGATATTTATGCTTATTATTTTTGCAGGCACCAGGCTAGCTTTACTGAAGAACTTTTGAAGATAAGCCCACACAACATAGACCCTCCTAACATCACATACAGGATTCTGAGACGTGCCAATATTATCATTGAAGCTGTTAGGACTCATAAGGTTATTGACGATCTCACCAAGCTTATGAAGGTAAGCCTGGACATTTTTATATTTAGAAAAGACTGTGTGTCTTACAGGATTTTACTTTTAACACTGCTTCCTGTGTGAAGTCAAATTTTTCGTTTGTTTTCTCATGCTGATCTGTACTTTAGTTGTATGTGTTCATTAAGTTGATAGTTCAGTCACATGCATGGAATTTTTGAACTTGCATTAATAGTAAGATAATCCTGTTTTAGGTTATTAATTTTTTTACTCACTGAATGTAAGAGAATCCCTCTCTTGCAATAGCTTCTCACACACACTATAACATGCTTGACAAGACTCTTTAACAGCTTTAGTTTCTCTGTATTATCATGGTGATACAGAATGTGTGTTTCCAGATAATAGCGACTATTAGGTTTGTAAAGTGCATGAGGGACAAGTGCATAGAGGCAAAGAACGACAAACTATTTTAAGATTGCCGTCTCGTAGAATATAACACTGTTTATTTCCATTGAGGGTTACACTTTGTCTGAACCAATCTTTATGTCACCGTTTTTCCATTATATAGAAGCACTCGTCAAATTTTGTCTTTGTTCTTCAGAATGGTGAACAGTGTCCAAAATCTCCATCCATACATCTTCCTATTTTATGCACTTATGAGTAGTTTTGAGCTTTGTATTCAGATGTATGCATGTCCATCTGTTCCATCGTTAACACTGGGCTCTTTTTAACTTAAATGCACAGTGCCATTACAGGAAAATTTCCAGCTCCTACTCACTAGCCAGGTTATATAATGCACAGTGAAGCGAGTTGTTTTACCTTAAGAGAAGTTCAAATGTTTCTCAATGGCTAAAATTTGGATAGGACTGAACCCTGAAGCTGTCAAGTTGGGCCCAATGTGGCCCAAAATACAGCATCCAGACCTATAGCTGTGTAACATTTTCAGGAGATGGATGATGATTTTTGATTGTGTATTGCTCGGACCATGCAAACACAGCTCTTCGGACTATCCACCGTAAACAGCCTGGGAAGTAAGACTGTGCATGCAGTCATTGTAGATTGTTACTTGAAGGAGTTGGGGCTAGTTATGAGTCACTTGTTATGGCATAAGTGTTGGGTGGAAAAAAAAATTTATTTCATGCCAGATTTTTCCATATATGTAATGTTAGGAAATATGCAATGTTGTTGTTTCTTGCAGCAGTGTTGAGGTTCTCATCAGTCATGGCTACATTGTATTTCCATTTTTCTGCATAAGAACAAATCTGATGTGTTAGGTTGATGTTAGGTTAATGAAGTCTATTTTGGAACTTGTGCTCTGACTGTGCCCTTGTAGTCAGTAGTACGAGTATGTATTTGGATAGCCTACATTATCTAACATTTGTTGTGTTTCTAGATATTATCTATTGTCCTGTTTTCATTTAAAACACGCGTTTCAGAGACTGGATTCTGTCTCCATCTTCAGGTGGAACCTACTCAGTCAGACACAATCGATAGAGCTAGGCCCTGTCTCCAAAGATAGAAACACAGTATTTGTATGAAGGTATCATCATCACAAACTTTTAGATCCTATCTACGTTATCCTGTTATACGTTTCAATACTCTGTCTGCCCCAGGGTCTTCTTCAGCCTTTCCCCAAAATGCCGTTGTTCATGGGCTGTATGCAGACTCTTCACTGACTTTTCTGTGTTATGTGAATATTCCTGATGGTGTCTGCCACTTGACCTAGTTCACTTCCTTGATTACCTCATTAATCAGTTACAGCATGTTATTCTGTGTTCAGCCATTACTGTCGTTCTACTTACTTTTCCAAGCTGATTGCAATTCTTTAGCTAATACTAACTCTTAACTGTTTCTTGTGTGTCTGTAATGCTTCGTGACACTACGTTGTAGTTGCATAGTTGTAAGACTGAACTGTTACACTTATTTCTCCAGCATATCAATGAAGAGGAGGATAAGGAAGGCTACAATGTAAAGATAGACAAGAAGTCTTTAGTGAGACTCCTTGTGAAGCTTAGCAAAGATGGCCATGTCAAGGTTATCAAGATTGTGTTGAAGGGTGGTACCAAGGAAAAGGTATTAAGCTTTATCTGCGATCCTGACATCACCACAGGTCAGTTATGTTACATTTGTGTTAGTTAATTACTGGAAGCATTAACAAGAAAAGAAACAAAAGAAAAAGATCAGCTGTTTTTTTGCAGGACCATTGGAACTTTTATTGGCTTTGGAACTTGCAGAATAGTCACTTAACCCTTTGCCAGACCTGATGCTGCAGAATGTTTAGGACCTTGAGTTGTGGCCAAAATACTTAAAGGCACTAATGGGAATAGTCACTTGTATTCTACTCATTGTCAAGGAATTTGATTTCAAGTGAAGTTACATTTCCTTGGACCATCTCACACATAGCTTGTATGCAGTACTATCTCTTGACCTAGCAGTTAATAAATAACAACACTGACATTACACGAAATTAAAAGCCTCATTGTCACCAGGTGTAGCTAATGATTAATTCAAGGCCATTGTTCTTATATCTGAAATAATTGATGAGAGTAAAACCAGTTTAAATTATAATTATACTGTCACATCTAGGATGGTATGCGTGACGAGAATAACGGGTTCCAGTTCGGATGATTTGATTTATTAGCACTTCGGTTACATGCTGTCTCTTGATTACACTTAAATACAGGCAATACAACACTATCGCTGATTTACACGTTTTGCAGTTCACTGTTGCACATGCACTAGAATTCTCTGTTTGCAATAGCCATCTCCTAGCAATGGATCTCAACACAGAAACTGCCACTTCATACACTATGAAGTCTACCTGTTATTTCATCTTCATTCACTCTGTACTCAGTTAATCTTCACAATTCACACTCCATTCTCGTCCCTATATTCTCAACTGTTGAACCTTCCTGGATTCTCCACTTTTTGCTCCGTTTGCATGATTCTGCCGCTACTATTTCTCTCTATGACAAACTCAGAACTCTATCACTCACTTATATAACAGAGGGACCAATATCGACCAACAGTAAACACATATCATATGACCCCTATCTACTGTTGCTGTGTGACATCACCACGCATGCGCAGCTGATGGACATGCAGGAAACACATGTCAAGTGACGACCACTAACTCTTGATACATTACATCACCGATCCTATGCCAACTGCCAGACACACAGAAAACACAGCTTGCTCTACTGTTGTGGGCGTGTATTGTGTTTACAGAGCTGTTGCTTGGTAACGTGTTTACACTACAATGCTTCCAAGATTTTGGAGGATAGTTCTGTAGCTTGTGCTATTGGGAAGTTTCTGGACTAGGTCAAAAAAGAAATGCTGGCTTAACTTACTCAGTTTCGTCTGCCATCCCCTTCAAATAATCTCCTTGGGAACATATATAGCGATTGCATCATTTTATTGGTGCTTCAAGAGCACTGTGGAAGCATTGGTAAAATGATAAAATAAATAAAAATAATAATAAATATAATAATTATAATAAAAATATAATAATAATAAATAAAAATAAAAAAAATGAAATTGATAAAATTCTTGACCCTACCAGGACTCAGACTCCCCCAGTCATCCAGCCCATAGCCAGTTGCTGTACCAAGTGTGCTAATCTGGCTCCTGTCAGAAGTGTACTGTGATATAATTTATGACACCAAGCATAACTGTTAGATGGCTAGCACTTCTTCATGTTCAAAGGTTCTGCGTTCAGGTTTTGGCCCAGAGACCAACTCTCTTGACTGAGATGTTTTGTCATTTCTCGCAGTCCCTCCCAGTAAGCGCTGAGATTGTACTGTACCTCATGTTAGGTCATTGCCACTTTCCTTTATTATTTGTTATTCATTTTATCACTGTGTGCTGTATAATTTCAGCCATTGAATTAAAGAACCCCAGAAAAGGAAAATAAATATAATTTACTGATTTCAAAATATGTCCAATTTATGAAACTCATGTGTCTAATAGAATGCACGCATTTAATATTTGAAGGGCTAAGGGGTTAAGGGGCTGAGGCAGTGTTTGATTACAATTGGCAAAGGGTTAAGTTCTGTATAAAATAATATGTATGGATTATGTGAAACAATTGAACCATGTTCATTCATAATTATTTAGTAATCAAAAAATATTTAACAGAAATTATAGAACACAGTGAGATAAATGTTTTATGTTTTACAAATTTATTTGATACTATGAGTTATTTTGAAAGAATAAGCTAGAAATTTAACCAAATATAATCAAATTGACCATGTATTTCTTTGCTTTCTACAGTGTTACAATTCTAAAAAGCCAAGTATCACTGTATCATTGTCTGTTTAGACTATTATGAACAAAAATTAATAATATAAATTTGTATATACCATGTCAGTACTATTTATGCAGAATTCCCATAATGACACCAAAATAAAACTGGGTGTTTACTTTTTAAGACTATTTTTTCAAAGAACTGTGTATGAATTTACTATATGCATTACAGCGGCCTCCGTAATCAAAAGGTAACGTTCCCACCTCATGACTCGTGGTACGCGGGTTCAAATACCCGGCGGAGGTCGTCAAATTTTTAAGGGTGGAAAAATTCGGGGAACAAGTCCTCCAGGAGGGACTTTAAGCTGTGTGTCCCGTGTCGTAACTTTACGGCACGTAAAAGAACCTCATATCCCCAAAGGGGATCACTGAGCCAAATTCCAGGATGTTTCCCGCCCAACAATAGTCTCTAAGGCCTCTGATAGATGGGGGAAGCATTATAGACACCGCTAAGCAAGTGGCCGAACTCGCTTGCTCGGCGGGACTGATGGTACGCACCATTTATCGGTAGGGTATAGAGACTGGTATAGAATATCATAGAGGGAAGCACAATAGATCAAACTGGTCGCGGTGCATGGGGAAACCCACCCTCTCTAAATAACTAAATAACTAACTACTATATGCATTAGGCATGTGAAAGAATTACTTTTACAGTTCACGATAAAACTGAGATGAGAATATGAAAATATTTAAAAAGCATTGAAAGAATGAGTTAGTCCATTTTTTCACTAGTCACACATTATAACACTACCCACTTTTCACAGTGCACTGAAGTGTTACTTATCCAGTTTGATATCAGATCCTTTTTTCAAGAAAGCCGTTTTCTGGGATGTGGCTCCATGTAGAAATTGTGTTAACCAACGTTTTGGAAGAACATATCACCTCCAGCTTCATGGTAGAAGACAAGAAGAAATCCATGAGCAAACCAGCTACAGCAGGTGCAACAGACCGTCGGTAAACACAGCGTATAAGAGAAGGAGGGAAGTGAGTGTGGCTACATAGGGAAATAGTAGAGAGGGGGAGGAGAAGGGTCTGGTGGAATAGCCAGCAGGTAGTGGGCCAGAGCTGGTATAGAGTATGTGTTAGGGGGAGAGAAGGGAAGGTTAAATGGAGGGCATTAACCCTGTAGCTTGGGGGCTGTGATGGACCTGAGTGGCCTATAGGGTCTGCCGTATTTCGGAGGTTATTTGAGGGAACAGATGAGAGGCTTCCATGACTTACTGAGACAAAACCCCACCTCTCTGTTCATATTGTCGGGATGGAGTTCGATCTCAATGGCCTCCCTAATGATGCGATCCATATAACGGGTCTTGGTGGCGAGGATGGAGGTATTCTGAAGCTGAATGCCGTGTCCCAAATCGATGCTGTGTTCAGCCACAGCTGACTTTTCTGGATGTTCAAGACGGATGTGTCACTGATGCTCCTTCAACCTTGTGTCCACAGAACAGCCTGTCTGCCCAATATAGACCTTGCAGCACTCGCATGGGATACTGTGTACACCCAGTGTCCTTAGTCCCAGGCTATCTTTGACCGGCCAGAAGAAACTGAATAATTTGTTTGGAGGCAGGCCCACTGATTTGATGTTGTGCCAGGACAGCACTGCTAATACGGCTGAATATGGTCCCGACATAGGGCAGGAAGGCGACTGAGTCCGGTTTATCTTCAGGCCGACGGTTGAGAACTCTGTGGATCTGCTGGTTGTTGTACCAACTCCACATGTAGGTTGTCTTGATCGCATAGAGCTCTAGCCCTGTGCATCAGTGCGGAAAGTACAGCTTGCTTGTTGGAAAGGGTGGTGGTGGGACACAGCATTAAGGTACAGGTTTGTTTGGGTGGATTTATGGTACACTCTATGGCCCAGAGAACCATCGGGTCTCCTGTAAATATCTATAGCCAGGAAGAGGAGGTGGCCCTCAATTCCAGTCTCCATTGTGAACTTAATGCACTAGTGGATACAGGTGGTTCAGGAAGTCCTTAAGCTTGCCGGGGCCCGTGTGGCCAGATGACGAAGTTGTCATCCACATAGTGAAACCAGCAGTGGGGCTTGTGTGGGGCCAAGTCGAATGCCCTCTCCTTGAAGTCCTCCATATATAAGTTTGCAATGACCAGAGACAGTGGCGAGCCCATCGCCACACCATCATTTTGTTCATAGAACTGGCCATCGAAGATTAAGTATGAGGTGGTCAGGACATGGTGGAAGAGTCTCAAGATATCATCTTCGAAATGTTGTCTAGCAGATCCATAGGCACTCTGGTGAAGAGCGACACTACATCAAAACTGACCGCATTCAGCTTCAGAATACCTCCATCCTTGCTACCAAGACCCATTATATGGATCGCATCATTAGGGAGGCCATTGAGATCGAACTCCATCCCGACAATATGAACAGAGAGGTGGGGTTTTGTCTCAGTAAGTCATGGAAGCCTCTCATCTGTTCCCTCAAATAACCTCCGAAATACGGCAGACCCTATAGGCCACTCAGGTCCATCACAGCCCCCAAGCTACAGGGTTAATGCCCTCCATTTAACCTTCCCTTCTCTCCCCCTAACACATACTCTGTACCAGCTCTGGCCCACTACCTGCTGGCTATTCCACCAGACCCTTCTCCTCCCCCTCTCTACTATTTCCCTATGTAGCCACACTCACTTCCCTCCTTCTCTTATACGCTGTGTTTACCGACGGTCTGTTGCACCTGCTGTAGCTGGTTTGCTCATGGATTTCTTCTTGTCTTCTACCCTGAAGATGGAGGCGATATGTTCTCCAAAACGTCAGTTAACACAATTTCTACATGGTGCCACATACCAGAAGATGGCTTTCTTCATGGTCATCGCCGTGAAAACCTCAAATCTTACACAGATCCTTTTTTGATTACAGAATTTCATATATCATTGTATTTTAATAAAAATTCAATTCTGAAGCCACTCCTTTATCACCATGGATAGAAAACAGAAGACAGGTTTTGTTATAAATCAATCAATGCTTATCATTGCCAACCATTATGATTCTGATATATCAGGTAGTTGTCCTGCTACTGCAAAAAGCAAAAGAATTTTTCTGAAAAGTCATGAAGTTTGAGACTGACCAGTCAGTGTTTGAATTGAGATCAAGGTAAATTTTCCTTGATTCAGTATAAAAAGTTTGAGACCGATGATTTTTATCTTATATTTTATTTCACTGTAATTATGTAACTTAAGTATTGCATTATAGATCATGGCATAATCCAGTCTGCAATTGAACAAGCCAAGATGAAGCTTTTCATCATTGCTAAAGAGAAAGCATCTAAAACTTCCAGTGATTCCAAAGAAAAGGAAGATGAAAAGTTTTCAGGTGAATCAATACATAGGAGCATGAATGAGATGAAAGCTATTTCATCAAATAAGGATAAGACAAAATCACTGGACTTTGTTTATGATAAGGTAGGTATTGTATTGTATTGTTGAATATGAATATATGTAGGCGAGTCAAATGAAAACAAATATTTTTTTGAGTATTATTTATTGTGCACAAGTGGTACAAAGCTGTACCACTTTTCAACATAATCTCCCCCACTTTCAATGCAAGTCCTCCAGCACTTACAAAGTGCATGAATTCCTTTAGAAAAAAATTCTTTTGGTAGTCCACGGCAACCACTCATGCACTGCGTGGTGTACCTCTTCATCAGAATGGAACGTCTTTCCTCCCATTACTTCTTTGAGTGGTCCAAACATATGGAAATCACTTGGGACAAGGTCTGGTGAGTATGCCGGATGAGGAAGACACTCAAAATGCAGGTCATTAATTGTCACAACTGTTGTACGGGCAGTATGGGGCCTTGCATTGTCATGTTGCGAAAGGATACCTGTGGACAGCAATCCATGTCACTTTGATTTGATTGCAGGCCGAAGATGATTTTAGGAGACCTGAGTATGATGCACTGGTGACAGTGGTCCCTCTAGGCATGTAGTGCTCCAAGATGACGCCTTTTTCGTCCCAAAAGAGAATAGCTTAACCTTACCTGCTGATGGTTGTGTTCGAAACTTCTTCGGTTTTGGAGATGAGGAGTGGCGCCATTCCTTGCTCACTCTCTTCGTTTCTAGTTGGTGGAGGTGAACCCAGGTTTCATCCCCAGTAACGATTCTTGCAAGGAAGTCATCACCTTCTCGTTCAAAGCACTGCAGAAGTTCTTCACAAGCATCAATACGTTGGTCTTTCAATTCAGGAGTCAGCTGCTGTGGCACCCATCTTGCAGACACTTTGTGAAACTGGAGCACATCGTGCACAATGTGGTGTGCTGAACCATGACTAATGTTTAAACTTGCTGCAATTTCATTCAATGTCACTTGGCGGTTTTTTCTCACTATGGCTTCAACTGCTGCAGTGTTCTCTGGAGTCACAACTCGATGTGCCTGACCCAGACGAGGAGCATCGTCCACTGAAGTCACACCATTTGCAAACTTCCTACTCCATTCGTACACTTGCTGCTGTGACAAACATGCATCACCATACTGAAACTTCATTCTTCGATAAATTTCAATAGGTTTCACACCTTCACTACACAAAAACCGAATAACAGAACGCTGTTCTTCCCTGGTGCAAGTCTCAAGTGGGCAGCCAACTTATACTGGTGCTGTGACAGTGTTCATGCATCTGCACTATGCTGCAACCTACAGGCCATTCTGCACGCTGTTTGTAGCACGCTTACCAACTTAAATGATAATGGCGCAAAATTTCGATTTTTTATTACAAATTTAAGGTTTTCATTTGACTCACCCTTGTACACATGAGAAAATGCTTTGTTAAGATGATGGTATCGCAATCGACCGGTCGATTGAGGGACGATTTATGGTCGATCTCATAGGCCTATAAGGAAATTATATGTGACAAGCATGTAAATTCACTTGTAATATATAATATAAAATAAGAAAGAGATCATAGCTACTATTCAAGATCTTTAATTATCAAGAAACACCATTGTGCCATGAATATAAATGATGTGTGGAAACATAACTGAACAGTTGCTGAAAGATGTTTCCATTTGTGTTGCTTTCTCCCTCCAACTGGATGAAGCTACAGACATCAGAGACAGCCCAGTTACTAGTTGCTTTTACAACAAACATCATGTGTCATGTTATTTTTACAAATATTTTTGCCTTAAATGAGGTACAACGATAGGAGGGTGTGGTAAATCACTGGCAGTTTTCACACTAAAAAGTCAGTCACAACTTGTTTGAAGTTGGACGTGCCTGGTCTACATGAACTCGACTGCATCCTCAAAAAACGTTTTCATATTTAGAGTTCTGATTGAGCATGCCGCAAAACCTCCTATCCAAACCTAATGAAGTTTAAATCAGTACATCATATAACCTTCCTCCATTGTTTATATGTTCATACTGACTCTGACTACTGTGTTACTTCTGCCTTTGATCTTGTTTTCCCGGGCTGCAGCAATACTTTCACTTATACTTGCCCATTGCAGTCACATCTGTGTACTATTATTGTTTACTAATTCCAGTCTGTCCATAGCCGTGCTGTCTGCATGGTGAAAAATGTGGAGTCATATACCACCCATATTTCTCCATCAATTCATGCTTTTTGATTAGTTTCTTTTATTAAGAAAATAAGTTCTTGCTTCAATTGTCTGCAGAAAGTTGGCAAGAAGTATGGATTTTCTCCAAAGTTTGTGCGGATGCAGATAATGCATCAGCTCCTCTTTTACCTGATTTACGGCTATACAGGAAATGAGAACCTTGATCAGGAAGCCACAGTCAATCGTCTCAGGCAGAGAGACAATTCTCTCACTGATGAAGTTGTGGAAGAAATGTCTAAAATCTACAGTGAAGACGTCGATTGGAAAATGTTTGTGCCTCCACTCCCTAAGCATGCAGGTAATTATGTATAACAGGGAACTTTTATTTATGAAATTCTTAAACTTGGACACTTTCCAAACAAAGTGGTTAGATAAGTATAAAACTTTGCTTGCTGGCTGTGTGTATTATTTGTGGAAGAAACACAAGCTTCTTCATCGTAACTAGAACACTGTGTAGCTAATAACTTTGTATAGAAAAGAAATTGTAAAGCAGACTTCATAAAAACCTAATTTTACAGTTCTGAGCAGTGAATTGTGATTAAGTATAGCATAATATCATGGTTCCTGGCATCATAATGTTCTTTGTGATTTTATGGGAACTTCATTTGCATATGTTACTGCATATGAGTTTTAATATAACTAAATGGGATCCCTCATTCTGATAAAATGGAATACTTTGTCCTCTCTTCAATATGAACATTCCACATAGCTCAATTTTAGGGATGTGTGAGAATAACTTTTCACTTAAAGATGAGATTGAGGCAAGAATGTGGAAAAATTTCAAGATAAGGAAGAAAAAGGACAATGTTCTCTGCTGGACCAAGTTTCATTTTCATTGTTCTCCCCCCCCCCAACCCTGCTGTAATTAGCATGATAACCCAACTTTTTTCAGAGTGCACTGAAGGTTACCACTTATCCCTTTTGAAATCAGATTTCTTGTTAATGAAAATTTTACATAAATCCTTGTGTTAAAACTATCAGTTCTAAGGCTATGTCTTTTTTCACCCCAGGGGAAAAGAGAGGGGGGGAGAGATTTTGTTGGCAATTTGATACATGGTAGGACTGTCAACTGTTGTAAGTCTGATGGCTCATGTAGTTTGCATGCTACTGCACAGAGCAATTATCTGAAAATTCCCAAAGTTAAAAACTGAAAAATCAGCAATTGAGTCAAGATTTTTCTCGATTAAGCTAAAAAATTTTGAGTGTCACCTTGCCTACTAAATTTTGGTAATTTTTTCAGGTTGGCCAGAAGGCTGGGCTATCGTGTGTGACCTGCTGTTGCGGTTGCCACTTTGCATATTTGTGAAGGTTATCAATGTCACGTTTATAGTCCCTGAACTAGAGCAGTACTTGATGCATCCAATACGCCGTCATTTTCTGGTCCGGCATCTGCCTCCACGTCTTCGTAATGTACTCATAACTGCCAGGCGTTACATCTTCAGTATCCATGAAGTATTGCAGCGCCTCTGCTATGTTGGTCTTATTCAGTTTGGCCCTCAGCGCCTCAAGGAAAAGGATCAGGTATTTTTTGGTGAAGAAATCTGCTAACATTGTATAACAGGTTGTAAGAAGCATTCCACCCAGCAAAGAGGTATTGTTTAGTGAGAAAGAATGTTGTGTCTTTTGTCTGAATCCACTGTAGTGGATAAGAGGCCAGCTGTGCTGACCACGTGCCTTATCACAATAATTATTGTTAAGAACAAATATATGAGTGACCAATTTTATCCCATAATGTGAAGCATATAAGCACTGGAAACAGATTATGCTGTAACTGTTGCAGAACCTATTATGCTTTAAAGAATACCAATGAAATTGTTGAAACAACAAAATATTTGACAAGGTGCATGCCACAGCAGAGTGTAAGGGAGGCTGATTGGGCAAAGTTGCGTACAGTATACAGTATTTGTTTCTGTTTCCATTTGTGTGCATTCACTTTGGTTTGGAAAGGATTTTCGATGAGCAAGTTTGTGTTCAGGTGACAAGTGAAGCCAAGGATATTCATTTCATTATAAATATTCACATGGGTAAAATTTCATAATGTGAACGTTGTAAAATGGGGAGACTCTGTACATGTTATTTTCTCCCTAGTGCAGCTTCTCGTGATGATGAATACTTAAATCTGGTTATTGCAGCACACGGAAGGTCATGTTAGATCAGTGGACATTTATGGAAAGTTATCAAATGGAGTTACATTAGTCATATTTCCCTAATTTTATATTACAATATTGTAAATTATATAGGGCGTGTTTTATTTCAGGTTTTTGTTTTTCTGAACCGCAGGACAACGTTATTGGACACAACCCCTTCACGTCCAGGCTACCATCAGGTGTCAGATGATATAACATACACGGAACACAAATATGAGTTTCATAGACAGAACGATGTGGATAAGTACTGGTATGAGATGTGGAACTTCTGCATCCATACACAGTTGGGTACGTCAATTTGGAGAAAGCTTTCAGTGATAAATAGAAATGTTGCTGCTGCCTGAAATATTAACACTCTGACAAAAACACATTTCATGTTACTGTGTCACTCCTGTTGGCCTTCAGTTGCTACCTTTTTTTCTTTTCGTTGTTTGAGTCCTTACCGATCTTTTGTTGAATGATACTTGTCATGTGGACTGTGATGTGTTTCCGAATTAGCAGTCCACATTGTAACTTCCAAATAAATTATTATTTTATTGCTAGTGGGTCCCTGTCACCACAGCATGGCACGTCCTCAGGTTGTGGATGGAGGAGACACCCCCCAGTTTTGGAGGGAAGCTGAAAATATAGTGAATAAGCAGTTGCGGACAGCCAACAAGGGGTGGCCCTCCAGCTTGGGGGTTGGGCATGGGGCTAACAACTCCTCACCGTAAAAAATCATCATGTTACAAAAATGAACACAAAGCCTCAGACCTGGATGGATTCTTTGAATAAACGACCTAAGCTAGTGAAAATGGATGTGAGATTTGGCACTTGGAATGTATGAAGTTTGTACAGGGCAGTGGCAGAAGAAATCTTAAAATTTAAGTTAGATTTAGCGGGAGGACAGGCGGTCAGATGGGATGGAGGTGGCATCGCACCAGCAGGAGACTATACATTTTTCTATGGAAAGGGTAATGAAAATCATGAATTAGGTACAGGTTTTTTGTACATAAGAGAATCGTATCAGCAGTTAAGAGGGTAGAGTTCGTTGGTGATAGGATATCATATATAATACTAAAAGGTCGCTGGTGTGATATCATTGTTATGAATGTTCATGCCCCAACAGAAGATAAAATTGATGACATAAAGGACAGATTCTATGAATAACTAGAACATGTATTTGATAAATTCCCAAAGTACCCTATGAAAATTTTGTTAGGAGATTTCAATGCCAAAGTACAAGGCTCGTCCACAAAGTAAGTTTCCCTGGGGGCCATTTACAGAAACAAAACACAATTTCATGGAAATATTTATTGCAACAGACACAGCAAGTGTTCAGCTATTTTTCAACATAATCGCCACCGGAATTGAGACATTTGTCATACCGTGGGACCAACTTTTGAATACCTGTGTCATAGAAGTCTGCCGCCCGGGATTGGAACCGCTGTGTGACAACCATCTCCGCCTCTCTGTCATTCTCAAAACGCTGACGCTCACTGGACAGGAATTTCTTGAGGTGTAGGAAAAGATGGAAATCACTGGGAGCGAGGTCCGGCCTGTAGGGTGGATGATTAAACACCTCCCAGCTGAACTCCTGCAGGAGACTTGCTGTCCGTCGAGCCATGTGCGGCCTAGCAATATCGTGCAGAAGACAATACCGGCACTAAGCATCCCGTGCCGCTTGTTCTGAATGGCGGGTCGCAATTTCTGCAGTGTTTCACAGTAACGCTCAGCATTCACCGTCTCACCTCTGGTCAGGAAGTCGACATGGGGAACGCCCCGTCTGTCCCAGAATACCGTACACATCACTTTCCACGCCGACAATGTGTGCTTGAATTTCGTCTTACAGGGAGATCCACTGTGACGCCAGTGTATTGACTGCTGCTTGGTTTCTGGGGTAATGTGTGCAATCCATCACTTGTGATGATCCTGTCCAGAAACTCGTGGCCGTCATCATGGTACTGCTGCAGAAAGGTAAATGCTGACTGCATGCGCTTTGTTTTGTGTTCTGGTGTCAGTTGCTTCGGCACCCACCTGGCGCACAATTTCCTGAACAACAGATACTCCGTGACAATTTCGTGCAACAAGGAGCGGGAAATCTGCGGGACATGACTGCTGAGTTCCGCAATTGTGACACGACAATTCTCCATAATGCGTTCCCGCGCAAGCTCCACCAGGTCGTCTGTAATGATGGATGGCCGCCCACTGTGCTTCTCATCATGCACACTTTGTCGACCTGCTGAAAATTGTCTGCACCAGCAACGCACCATCTGCTTGCTCATGACATTAGGCCCATAGACCCGGCACAGCTGATGATGAATTTCGATCGGCGCTATGCTCTGTGCATTGAAAAACTTTATCACTGACCTCACTTCACAGTCGGCGGGAGTTGGAATAAGAGCCTCCATCTTCAACAGCTGCAACGATGCTACTGTGGGAACGCAGGAAATTCCGTTTGTGCATGCGCCATGCTATGTCATTGCTCTATCACGTACGCGCAGTCGCTTCGCGCAATATAAGTTTTGCTAGCTGTGGGATGAGTGGGAAACTTACTTTGTGGACGTGCTACGCAGGTAAGGAAAACATGTTCAAACCAACGATTGGGAATGAGAGTTTGCATGAAATTAGTAATGATAATGGAGTTAGTGTAGTAAACTTTGCCACATCAAAAAATCTTACTGTCGAAAGTACAATGTTCCCACATCGTAACATTCATAAATTTACTTTGACATCTCCTGATGGGAAGATACACAATCAAATAGACAATATTTTGATAGACAGGAGACGGCATTCAGGTATACTTGATGTCCGATCATTCAGGGTGGCAGATTATGATACTGACCACTACCTGGCGGTGGCAAAGGTTAGGGAAAGACTAGCAGTGAGCAAACAAACAACACACAGAGTTCATATGGGGAGGTTCAATCTCAATAAATTAAATGAGGTAGAGGGTAAAGAACAGTATTGTGTTGAAATCTCAAATAGGTTCACGGCTTTGGAAAACTTGGACACTAAGGTGGATGTTAATAAAGCTTTGGAAACTATTAGAGAAAATATAAAAATGTCTGCCAAAGATAGTCTAGGTTATTATAAACCAAAGAAGCATAAGCCGTGGTTCGATGAAGGATGCTAAAAATTATTAGACCAAAGAAAGCAGGCCAAATTGCAATGGTTACAGGATCCAAGCGAGTTAAATGGGGATAATCTGAACAATTTAAAACATGAAACCAGCAGGCATTTCAGGAAAAAAAAAGAGTTATAACTGAAAGACAAAATTGATGAGCTTGCAATGAACAGTAAGAACAAGAACATTAGAGACCTGTATAGAGGAGTAAATGACTTTAAGAGGGGTTACCAGCCTAGCAGTAACTAAGTGAAGGATGAGAATGGTGATCTGCTTGCAGGTTCCCAGAACATTTTAAATAGGTGGAAGAACTACTTCTCTCAGTAACTGAATGTACATAAGGTCAGTTATGTTAGGCAGACAGAAATCCATACAGCTGAGCCGTTAGTACCTGATCCTAGTCCTTTTGAGTTTCAAAGTGCTATTACAAAATTGAAACGGTATAAATCGCCAGGTAGTGATCAAATTCCGGCAGAACTTATTCAAGCAGGAGGCGAAATATTACGTTCTAAGATCCAAAATCTAATTACTTCTATTTGGCATAAGGAAAAATTGCCTGATCAGTGGAAGGAGTCTATTATTGTACCAGTGCCCAAGAAGGGTGATAAAACTGACTGTAGTAATTATCAGGGGATATCACTGCTATCAACTTCATATAAAATTTTGTCTAATATTCTTCTTTCAAGGTTAAATCCATATATAGATGAAATTATTGGTGATCATCAGTGTGGATTTCAATGTAACAGATCAACTACAGATCAGATCTTTTGCATTCGTCAGATATTGGAGAAAAAATGGGAGTACGATGAGACAGTACATCAGCTAGACTTCAAGAAAGCATATGATTCAGTTAGGAGGGAAGTATTGCACAATATTCTGATAGAGCTTGGGGTACCCATGAAACAAGTTAGATTGATTAAAATGTGTTTAAATGAAACGTATCATAAAATCCATGAAGGTAAACATTTGTCTGATAAATTTCCTATCCAGAATGGTCTAAAACAGGGAGATGCTTTATCACCATTCCTTTTCAAGTTTGCCTTAGAATATGCAATTAGGAAGGTCCAGGGAAACCAGGTGGGACTGAAATTAAATGGGACACATCAGCTGTTGGTCTGTGCTGATGATGTGAATCTACTGGGTGATAATGTAGATACCATAAAGAAAAACACACAAACTTTAATTGACGCAAGTAAAGAGGTTGGTCTAGAAGTAAACACAGAGAAAACTAAGTATATGTTACTGTCTCGTCACCAAAATTCAGGGCAAAATCATGACATAATGATATGAAACAGATGTTTTGAAAATGTGGCACAAATACAGATTTTCTTTTTAATTTAAATTAGTAAACAAAAATGACTCAAATGTAAGCTCCACATGGTTCTTCAATATGGCAGGATGAAACAGATATTGTCATCTCTCTCTGGAAGTGCAATTTCTACTCTTTCAGCATTTCCATGAGTCAAAATTCATACACATTAATCACAATCTGGTGATTTTTCAAATTCTCATATTTTATTATGAATTGTCACTTCATTTGCTATTCTCTGTACAATATGGGGGGAGTGGATGTATAGATCCACATTTTCTTGACCTCGGCACTAGCTGGAGGTGAGCGGTCAACTTCAGGCTCTGGCCGCTTTAACCTGGAGAAAGAGCCCCCAGTACCTGTTGAATAGGAGGTTAGAGGTTAGGTGGACCCCAGAGCTGGCCTGGACAACATGGAGAAGAGAAAGTTGTTGACCATACTGGGACTCGAACTCTGACCCATCGGTTGACCAGCCCATAGCCAGTCGCTATACCAACTACACTATCCCAGCTCCCCTGTTTACAGTAAGACCTCATTAATTCAATATCAGATTACTTCAGAAAGTTCAAAATTACTGTAGTTCCTGACTCAGTAACATGGGATCTTATATGATTTTTGATATGGACAATTCAAAATTTGACTACAATGAATTTCAAAGTCTGAATTTGACCCATTGTCAAGCATTTCTTATCTTTTGTCATCTTTGTTCTGTAAATAGTTGCTGCAGATAGTAAAAAGACTGGAAAACATTTCTATAGAAATTCTATACAATCACTGTACTGTGAACACTTGGATTAATGCCACTCTAGTATATTTCAGAAAGATTCTGGCTTCTTGCTGCTGTAAAAGGGGAAGAATTGTTTGTATTTTTATTTTTTATTGTTATCACAAATGTAATGCATGTAAGTATGAGATATGTAATAGGATTATGAATGGCATTGAAATTAAACACACTGGACTACAAATCGCTGACAAATTTAAAGTGATACATAAAAGCATTTCTTATCTTTTGTCATCTTTGTTCTGTAAATAGTTGCTGCAGATAGTAAAAAGACTGGAAAACATTTCTATAGAAATTCTATACAATCACTGTACTGTGAACACTTGGATTAATGCCACTCTAGTATATTTCAGAAAGATTCTGGCTTCTTGCTGCTGTAAAAGGGGAAGAATTGTTTGTATTTTTATTTTTTATTGTTATCACAAATGTAATGCATGTAAGTATGAGATATGTAATAGGATTATGAATGGCATTGAAATTAAACACACTGGACTACAAATCGCTGACAAATTTAAAGTGATACATAAATGAATGTAAACTAAAAGTTAAATTGTTAAGGATTATGGAACTCTAATCAGACTTTTTGACTTACCAAAATTATGAATGTGTCAAAAAGCATACCACAAGTGGAAGTGGACTGTGTGAGAACTTTTGCCAATTCATAGAGTGAACAAGGCTCTGCTGGAAACTATCGACAGATTTATAATATTATGTCACTTGTGTTTATCACAAAGCTTGACGTTTGACACATGTTGCAGAAAAGTGTCAAACCAGTTCTTGTCATATTCATGTAAGCCAGAAGACACTTCAGTGCTGTGTTTTGCTAAATGACATGCTCACCCTCAAGGCTGAAATTTGCTGAGCAAAGAAGAGAAGCAAGTACAGAATTATAGTTATGCCTGGGATTAGCACAGTTTGGATTGAGAAGTTGCCACCCCATGTGAGAGGCAAATTTGAATGTCCACACTTCTTTTAAAACAATGAAACATTTGCTAAGCCATTAAAAGAACAATGTAAATGTATGAATGACTAGCGATTTTTCTGCAATTAACCATTGTGCCATAAGAGGAAGACTGTTTGCCACAGTCATACCATTTTATATCTAGTACATAAATGTTCTGTGCTCAGTTGAACAGCTTCAGTCTGAAGTTCTGGGATGTGACATGGTATAGTGACACTGGATAGAAGCAAGTAAAATGCGCTGCACATGGAAATGCTGGTTCCAGTGCTGGCCTGAAAAGAAGCCCAGAGAAGACCAGCAGGAGCAAGGGGAAGGGTAGCAAGTTCTGGGCTGAAAATGGCTGTATTTCCAAAAGTGGATGGATAGGAGACGGTAGGAAGCAGGTGACATGAGTGACCAATGGGAGGTATAGATGAATCTGGTGAGTAAGGAGGCTTGGGCAGTGTGGTGGGTTTAAAGGAGAAAGCAGCTGCTAAGGACAACAAGGAAAGCTCAGACAGCTGTGTGCCTTTAAAAAGAAAATATCCATGCCCCAGAAAGGGTANTGCATTCTGCATTTAAAAATTCCAGTCATCAGATTCTGGGGGTGGGGGGGGGGGAGGTTGGCTATTTTTTAGCCCTTTGAATTGAATATGAATGTAATATAACAATATATATTTCTTTTGATGGCTAGGGGGTTGTATGTGTGTCACTGGGAAGGACATAGTGCTGGAGTTCCTACAGAGCAAGCAGGTCATGATCGATGCTATCCAGCCCAGACTGCCACAAGATGCTCTGAAGCGAGACACTGGATTAGTACCAGGAGACAAGAGAGGAGCTGCTGGGCTGGACTCCGCATTCTTCTCGTGAGTTAACAACATTGAAATTCTGATGAATGAATGTTTTAATTTGTTTTGTTGTTAACTGACTGGTCCTGTAGTTGTGCTTATGCTGAGAGATGATGGGAGAGGTAATAAATACTAGTGAAAAGTAAGGTTAAATCTGTATTAATGTGCTCTTCCGTTCAGATATGCACCTGAGTGTTGGAGTGTTGAAGTGCTGGAGTATGACGCTTATATCTTAATATTATCTGCAACTTATATCAGTTAAAATAACTTATTACTGTGATGGTGGCAAGTGATATTAACTTTATCCCTCAAATACTGTGGGGTCCTCACATTATGTAGGCATATGTAGTCAGTTTATGGCTATGGAAGCAATTTCTTCCATGTATTTAATTAAGTATTTACACTTCATGTTCTGTGGGTCCATAACTGAAAATAAAAAAGGCTATTAATGCTTTTGTAGAATGTAAATTAGAGCTGTGCATGAAACTAGGCATATTTTACTTTTAGGAGTAAAGATTGAAATCTTTTCAGTAATTTTAGAATATGAAACATATTCAATGGATATTTATTTACTTTTTGCAAAGAATGCATAAGAATTGTAAGTGTTTTATGAAAATTAAGAAGGAATTTTTTGATATTTTCAGACACCTGAAGCGGAACTGGAACTGGACGACCGCCACACCATGCATTACAACAGTTAGTAACAATAAACCGGTGCTGGTAAGTTAATCACTTTATGGAAAACATTCAGTTGATGTGTTTGTGTGTGCGTGTGTGTGTAATTGGAAGTACTGGAAAGGACTGCTAGGGCCCCGTAGGTATAATTACTGTCACCGAACTTGATTTATGCTAAAGGGGTGAAACAAAAAGTTACACTTCAGGAAATATTTCAAATAAAATTATTGGCAGTTTATTTTTTGGATCCCAGCGGTGAATAAGTGAAACCATGAATAGGAAATATGGATGGACCTGCATCCAAGTTTTCTTCCATAACTTCATATAAAGCCATTGATTGTTGAAATTTAGGGTTATGTTATTATTTCTCTTTTCCTTATAGTGTTGACCACCTCTGTGGTATGGTGGTCAGAGATCCTGGCTACAGTTCGAGAGGTCCCAGGTTCGATTCCCGGCACTACCAGTTTTTTCGGAAAAATGGTGGGTCTGGAACGAGGTCTGCTCAACCTCGTGAGGATAATTGAGGAGCTATTTCTAGGAAATAGCAACTCCAGTCTAGAAAACCAAGATTACGGTGGTGGGGATCCTTTGCGCTGGCCACGTGACACCCTCTATCGGCAAAAGTTTGCACTAACTTCACCAACAACAAGCGGTCGCTCAGTTGGTATAGTTTGCTTGCGGACTACAGACCATGGAGTTTGTTTGTTTGTTCCCCCTGCCCCCAGTGTTAGATCATTTGTGCAGGATATTTTTAGAAGATGACTATGATTTCAGCCACCCGATAATTGAGAACTATGTGCTTATATTCATAGTGTTGCCAGTTTTCTGAAAAAGAATGTGCATATGAGTGAATACATTAATATAACATATACATAAAAAATAGAACACAATTTGAAAGAAGTATCATTTGATATTGACATTTTTGGTGTGTATAAAAATGCTCATAACATTAGTAACAAAAATAAAAAGAGGGGAAGAAATATAAAAAGAGAGAATAATAGACACAGAGAGCAGAGGCAGGTGAGAACTTGAGCAGTTGACGTGAGAGTGCCACTCGATGTAATTCAGATGTGTACTGTTCTGATGTAGGCACCTCAAAACTGAGCTGAGAGTGAGTGTACACAGTGAATATGTTACTAAGAGCTACGAATGAGATCCAAAATAGCTTGAAGTCGGCTCTTGAATACTGTGTGTAATGTCATATATTAATCCCTTTGACAGGCAGCCAAACCACTGGTACAGGAACAGAGGAAAGCACGACTGGCTAGTCTGAAGACTGAACCCCTTCAGTTTGATGAGATCTTTCAGGTAAATGTAACATTCAGATTGGAGCACTTACTACAGTATGCACCAAAGGAAGTGTGAACACTCTCAGTGATAAAATGAATACGATCTCCATATTGTTACCTTTATAAGGTTTTCTATATGTAAACAAACATATTTATTCAAATGTAAATAACCTCAAATTTAATATCATTCTTTATCCTCTTTGAATGAGAGATATTAAAAATGTATGGAAAAATTCTATTTTTATTAATTCTTGCAGAAATATTTAGGTCAGATGATGATGAGAAATACAGCTATTACAGTTGCTAGGAAAATGCTCTGAATACACATTCAGTAAACATTACAGGAAGTCGATGAAGAAAGTCATCTTCTGGGTTTTGGTGCCATGTGTTCTTCGTTTTGGCTGACGTCATGTCATTGACGTCAGTAGCCTGTCCCCAGCCAACCGGTTCTTCTTGTCTAACCGCAACCTCCAAGTGCTATTGACCTCCAGTTTCCTGGATTCACTGGCCATTCCCCCCCCCCCTTAGCAGCAACAACATATATGGCCTTAATCGCTCTCCACTGCTCCTATTGGTCCGCTCTTCCTAACCACGCCCCCTGCCTACTTCCTATATAAAGCAACGCCTTTCACTTCCTAATCATTACAGCTACTGCTTTCTGCATTCACAAGCCATTCACCTGCTCTGAAGATGGAGGCGATACGTTCCTCAGAAACATCAGCCAAAACGAAGAATACACGGCGCCAAAACCCAGAAGACGACTTTTTTCATAGTCATCGCCGTGAAAACCTCAAAAAATTACAGGAAGTCCTTTGGAAAACTGAGGATGTGGTAAATATTTCCATCAGCTATTCTCGTTCTATTTAATGAGGTAAATCCCATCTGCTGTATGAACCGGGGTATGTAATATAGTGTAGGTAACCATACAGAAGAAACGTCCTGTGTTCATTTGAATATCCATTGGTGTACCACTACCAGGAGCAATGTTAAATATATTGTCAAGTGTATTAGTGACTAGTAGGCAGGGTTTGAATTGGTGAATAGATTTATTGGATATCCACAAGCCGTAACTACAATTAATTATAGCGCTCAAAAGATTACTCTAATTTTAACCCATAAAGTAAAGTCTTCTATATCTGCTGTAACTAGTTGCTGCTAGGTAACAGATCTGAACAGTGGCTATGCCTGTACAGTGTCTTTACTGTCCATTTCATATCAACAGATTTTAACAAAGGAACAATCACTTCAAATGAGTATGAAGTGGTCTTGTACCCAATTCTGGAATTATAATTCTCTCTCTCTCAAATTCGCTGTACGACTGGAATCTCCTGATCCGAATTATCAACTCTGTGTCCTGTTGTATTCCCATTCTTTTGATGCCATTGTTCCAAGTCCAAGTCACATTGTGACTGACAGTCAGTCTGTCTGTCTTGGTGTCGAGCCCCGGCATTCCCCCCCCCCTCTTATATGAAAGTTACTGTCCTGTCCATTCAATAATAATAGGGATAGTGCACAATGTGCAAATTTAGTCTTTACAGAACTGAGTTAACGATGTGGGTCTTTTGATACATGCTAGCACATGGTATCATTCACACTATTTTCCACACAATTTGCTTACACTTTGTGCTCCTATAACGTGGTGATTTTGCACACTGCATATCCTGTGGTGGAAGCCATGGACAGCAGATCACATCATCAGATGTCTAAGGTTGTAGTTTGCACACATCCATTCAGTAGGTCGGGTCTGTCATTTGTAAGTCATAGTCCATATTAGTAAGTCCATTGTCAGTATTTTCATATATTTACAAATTTAATCTTAATTCCTATCTCTGTGTACAATATGTACAAGGCCTCTGTCAATCCAGGCTCAGTACAGCAAATTATGTCCTATTTCTATCCCCTTGTTCTTCAAACTGGTTTCCTTATATAGCTTGGACCACGCAGAAAATACCTCTTATGTTGTTGGAATAGTTATGTAACCTAGCAACTAGTCACAGAGAACACAGCTCCTATTGTTGCATGGTTGCTGGAATGTGTATACTGAGTCGTCATCTAGCAATGATCATGTATTGTCGTATTATCATGTGCTTCAGAGGGAAGGTGTTTATTGCGCCATTGCCTAGCTGTGCACATTACAATATAATATCCTAATTTTCTGATGATGACATAATGGTCTCCATCCCTAACTGCCGAAGACACACCCTTCTTCACATAGTAGATGGAGCATCCCTAACTGCCGAAGACACACCCTTCTTCACATAGTAGATGGAGTATAGAAGCTGTTAAACATTCCTTGTGGTGTATGCTCAGTCATTGTGTTCCTCACAATAAACATAAGGAACTGTAATGCCAAATAAGCCAGTGCCATTGCTTAGAAAAAGATATGAGAGCAGATGGGAGTTGGCATTTGAATGATTGTTTGGAGCATGCTGTCCATGCAAAAATATCGTCTGTAAGTGGATCATGCCTTTGTCCCATTCGCTATGTAAATTAAGTGATAATATATCAAACATAATCTTACATAATTTTGACTTTGAAACTTAAATGTTTCTTATATTGAACAGATTTTCCCCATACTCTATATAATTTGTCAGCATATTATCTTAATAGGCGTTGTGATACCCAAGAAACATGTTAGATTTTGCTGATGGTAAGTCACATCAATTCTCTTGCAGCCAAAGCATCTCTTGTTGCTTTCACTGTCGTTGCTATTTCCATTGAGTTGAATCACTGTATTTGTTCAGTGTTCCTTTAGACATGCTGTCAGTATCCCAGTATCTTCAAATGTTATTACATGTGACATGGCTTTTTTCATGCCTCAGATATTCCAGAACCAGCTTCTCTACATATTGTAGTTGGTATGCATTGTATTCCTTTTCCTGACACTGCCTCAAGTTGTTTCTCTTCCATTTCACTTGGTTTAACTGTCAGTTGTACGGTGGGAGTGTAATGACATGAAACCCTTTGTCCCAAGCAGTTTCAGCAATTTCATGTGGTCAGAAGTGAAGTTTGTGTTGTACTGTTAATTCCAAAATTCTGATTTTAAGAGACCATTTTTGAATGTGATGTTATTTTTTTGCCTGAATGATAGAAAGTGTTCATTACAATAACTGTCCCCTTTGGTCATTTCATGACTTGCTTACAAAGATACTTCCACAATCTCTCACCATTCATTTCATCATAATCTCATTTTGGCTTGGATGAGAACAATAAGAATATTTTTTTATCCATAGGGACCCTTGGCATGGTGCTGAGAGAGTCATTAGTCCAGGCTTTCCCACATGGGACGTGTGTTTTCACCCACATCTCATTCATTGCCTTTAAGTACTTCTGGCAGAGGTCTGTGATGTCAGGCTTTTCCTAGGTAATCTCCAGGAGATGAGACAATGATATTCTAACCCTAAATCATTCAGAATGCTCTCAGTGATGATTCTGAGCCACTGAACTTCATACATTCCTGAACACAAAGTTAAGTGTTCTTAAATTTGAAACACATTTTGGTGCACAGGATTCACTAATGAGTCTGCTGATTCCCTCTGTATCAATTGTGCCAATGTTGGTTACTATACAAAATTTTTCACACTCCCCCCCCCACAGTTTTCTTTTCTTTCAGCAGTTAGGGCACAATTTTGCTGTGTACATGGACTGCATCTGCCATACATTGCATTGCATTGCATAATTTACATCAAGTGATGATGGTCTTCCACTTGTTTTCTCCTATGTGAAGCCATTCTGCATATTAATTACAATTTGCCTGCTCTGACCTCTTAGTTATTTACAAATAGATACATTGCCATTTCTTTATTCTTTCCATCATAAACGCAATTTACAATAATAATAAGTGAATGACACTGATCCTATAGCCTTTAAATGAACAGTAACACCAAACCGCATTCCTTCAAGCTGATTTGTTGGATCCTGTCATTTACACTGTTGAGGAAGGAAGGTCAGGAAGAACAGCAGTGCAGCTTTGAAGCTGAGCCATGTTACTTCTCAAATGTTATGAGCTAGCTGAATAAGGAAAAAATGTGGGGATTAGAATGGCAGCTCTTGCTATAAACACACACAATTTTTTCCGTTGAAAAGAGGTATGCACCATGATATTTCTCAAGCTGAAAAAGTTATTTTTTTGTTGTTTGTTTAGAAGCCTCAAGAAAAACCTATGAAGACTGTTTTCCCTGTTAAAAAGAAGCTTAGAGGACCCAGAACTGTAGCAAAGAAAGATGTCATTGCAGCCCGCAGCAAAGTTCTGAAGAAAAGGAAATTTGTTCGACATGTTCTGCCACGCAAGTCAAGACGCAATCACAGACCATACTATGATGAGGTGGACTTGAAGGCTCTGCAGCTCATGAGCAAGTTGTAAGCTCCTTTTCTGTCTTTCACATTTTCATAATTTAGAGTGAATATAGATGGGGTTTGGATTGGTGAATAGATTTATTGAACATTTACAGGTCGTGACTACAAACAACTATAACACTGTTGCTGATCCCCACACTACAAATTACTCCACGCTAAGTCTTCTCAGTCTACTTTTACTGGTTGTTACTTTGTAACAGGTCTCAACAATGGCTATTCCTCTGCAATGTTTTCACTAGACATATCCTGTTAATGAACCTTAACAGTGGAGATTTACAGCTTCTGTAGTCACGCTGTTGCATACTGGTTAACACTGTACCACTGAACATTTAACTGAAGTGTAGTGCCAGTTGTCTTTAAGATAACTCTATGGCATGAACCAAGCAGAGAACACAGCCCTTGTATAACTGTACAGTTGTGTTTACTGCACTGTTGCCTAGCAGTGGGTGTGGCATGCACAAAATAAACACCATTCTCCCATTATTGCACGAGTATATGTCATAGGTTGCCTAGCAATGGCCGCTGTTTACAGAGTCACTGCTTAGCAACGGGTCCATACGTTACATTGCTCCCTCCTTAAGGCTGTTTGTCCTGAATAGCCTACAGACTTATCATTTCTTCTTTTCCAGTGGCTGTGATTGGTCTCGCCTTCCTCCCTGTGGCTCAGTTTGCATGGTATTTACTCTCCAAATGCTCCAGCTGCTCCCTCCTTATGACCACTTGTCCTGAGCAGCTCCTTGATAAGGTGCAAGCCTGTTCAGATGTACCATCATAAACCTCAGTCTGGGGTTCCACTGGATCCTCTATACCACATCATTTATCTAGGTTACTACCTTGTATAGGCCCTCCCATAAGGTTTGGAGCTTGAGCGATTACCCCTTCATGCAGATTGGGCAATAGAGCCACACTGTGTCACCCTCATGGTAGCCTGCACAGTTTGCCAGTCTGTCATAAGGAGTCTTCATCCAGTCACTGGCCAGCTTCAGATGTTCACGGACACCAACTGTGAGTGCAGTGATGTGATGCACGTCTTACTCACTCCCAGACATTGCAGAACCTCCTGTATCAGATGAGTCTCGAAGTTATGGCCTTGGTCACTATGTATTCTCAGCAGTACTCTGAAGTGGCACAAGAAGTTTCCACTACTGTCAAAGCCTATTCACTGGGAATAGTGTAGGTTTCTGGCCACTTCATAAAGTAACCCATAGTGATCAGGAGGTGTCTGTTTCCTTGGTCACTCTGTAAGAAGGGCCCTGCTACATCGACGTCTGTCCTTTCATATGGGGCCCAACATTGTACTGATGCATTTGGCCCCAATTCTTGGTCTGGGCTCCACAACTGGCTGCACATGTGCCATGGCTTCTTGCCTGGAGCCAGTAGTACTTTTGCAGGACCTTATTCAGAGTTTTGTTGACACCCAAATGGCCTCCCAATAGCCTCCAATATAGTTCAGTCAGCACATGGTGCACCTTGCTCCTCCAGGGAACTATCTGGGCTCTTTTATATCGCCCATCAGATTCTCAGTGGTGCTGTAATATGCCATTCCTTGCAGCAAAGGCTTTCCATTAGTCCTAGTAGTTTTTGTGTGTGGGGCTGCTGCTAGTGATGTCTTTCCAATCTAGGTGCTGTCCAGTCTACTTCCTCCAAAGTATGTCTGTTCCCAAGCTGTTCACTTGTGCTGTTCTCAGAGCAGCTGGATCCCAGCTGGCTGCAGCTACAGCCGCTACCTGCCGGACATCTGTCTGCACCTCAACTTTGTAGCAGTGGTACACACTTCTCGGAATGGTCATTGTGAAAGGGCATCAGCCTTGACAGTGCTTAGCTGTGAAGTTGTACTCTTGCAGGCACTGCATCCAATGTGCGATTTGTCCCCCAACATTCTTAAAAAGTTATGAGCCAGGTTAATGCAGAGTGGTCATTGCATGGGTGGAACTCTTGTCCATACAGGTACTTATGGAAATGTTCCAGCATCCTCACTGTGACAAGTAGTTCCTCCCAGGTGACGCAGTAATTTCTCTGAGCCTTGTTCAGCAACTTACTGTAGTAAGCTGTTACCTGCTCCCATTCATCCTGTACTTGGGAGAGCATTCCTCCAATCCCAGCATTGTTTTCGTGTGTGTCAACGATGTACCTCTCTCTTGGCTGCAAGTAAGCAAGAATAGGGACAGTACAGAGGGCCTCCTTCCACTGGAAGGCTTTCTTCTCCTCTGAAAGTTTGGTTAGCGGTTTTGCAGTATTGGTAAAACCTGAAGTAAACCATTTGTAATACATGCATAGACCCAAAAAGTTTGTAATTTCATGTTTGATCTTTGGGGTTGGCCATTCTTGTATAGCGCTCAGTTTCTTGGGGTCAGTGGTTATTCCCTAGAGTGGCACAGTATGCCCAAGGTATGGTACTTCTTTCTGGAAGATTTGGTACTTCGCCGGATTGACCTTCAGGTGGGCGTCTCGGAACTATTGGAACACTTTCCATACATTAAGCAGGTGCTCTTTGAACGTGCAGCACAGTTTTCTCCTTGTCTGGATTTAGGTCTACTTGCAGTACCTGCTCTTCAGGTTGAGACTGGAGAATCATTTGGCTCCAGCCATCATGTCTAGAGTGTTATCAGTCTGGGCCAATTGGAAACAGTCCTTCCTTGTGACATCATTTAGTTTCCTGAAATCTACACAGAAGTGAAGGTCCCAATTCTTCTTCCAGATGAGAATGACAGGGCTGTCTGACTTTTCGGTAACACCACGTCATTGCATGTCCTTAAGCATCTTGCCCACATCCACCTGTTTTGCCAGGGGGAATCTCCTCTGGTGTTGGTGAATTGGACAGGCATGTGGATTATTTTCTTGAATTACCTTATGTAGAGCTCAGCCTTTAGGTGTGGTTAATCTAGATCCCCATGCTGTATGTTTAGCATTCCAGTCACCTCCCACCAGAAATCGCAAGCCAAGCGGTAGGAGGAGACCTCTGTATTCTTCCGATGATATAGTGTGGCGCGGTGGGCTGTATACTGCGGCCATAGTCAGAGGCCAGTCACCTGCCACTAGAAATCGCGAGCCAAGTGGTAGGAGGAGATCTCTGTATTCTTCCGATGATATAGCATGGCGCGGTGGGCTGTATACTGCGGCAATAGTCAGAGGTCAGTCACCTGCCACTAGAAATCGCGAGCCAAGCAGTAGGAGGAGATCTCTGTATTCTTCCGATGATATAGCGTGGCGCAGAGGGCTGTATACTGCGGCCATAGTCAGAGGCCAGTCACCTGCCGCTAGAAATCGCAAGCCAAGCAGTAGGAGGAAATCTCTATATTCTTCCGATGATATAGCGTGGCGCGGTGGGCTGTATACTGCGGCAATAGTCAGAGGTCAGTCACCTGCCACTAGAAATCGTGAGCCAAGCGGTAGGAGGAGATCTCTATAGTCTTCCGATGATATAGCGTGGCGTGGTGGGCTGTATACTGCGGCCATAGTCAAAGGCCAGTCACCTGCCGCTAGAAATTGCGAGCCAAGTGGTAGGAGGAGATCTCTATATTCTTCCGATGATATAGCGTGGCATGGTGGGCTGTATAATGCAGCAATAGTCAGAGGCCAGTCAGACGTTTCTTAGTTTAAGATAGTTGCTTGAATTTTATTGGTGATATGAGGCTGTAGATTATAGTGCTAATAATCGCTGAGCCTGCATGCGCTGTCTCGTCTGGATGGTTTGCATAATAAATTTTGTAATAGGGTATTTTTTACAGTTTGTTGGGTTGCATGGCTTTCCGAGATTAATAGGATATCGATTTTGTTGACGTTTAAGAAATACTCGATTTCCAGCACATGGTTTTTTAGTCCGTTAGCATTCCATACAGCAACTCTCAGTCAGGAAGCCGTGACTTTGCTATTTTATTTATTACTGTAGTTAGCATGGTAAGAATCATACTATTTTGGTTTCAAAGTTGGGTAAACATGCATCTCAGACCTGTAGTTTTTCCACATTGGGTGGGGTCATTAGCATGACTGACTCACAGTGTGCCAGGGTGAATCCTTTTTTGAGCTTCTAGTCAGGATTGATAGCATTTAGGACCCTCGTGGGTACCTCCTAGCTGTCTCGGACCAGGGTCCTGGCTGTGTAGAGTTCTTCGGGCAAATGAGCCTCTGGACTCAGTTCCTCCAGGCCATTTTCCATTGCGAGGGGGCTCTCCAATCTAGCCATCACCACTCCCTTGCATTGTGCAGGTATCACCTGATCATTAGCCGCTATCAGACTGGAAGGCCATTGTGATACCTCTTCCTCTGCCAGACGTAGAGTTTGGTGCCCTAGGCCCACAGATGCATGATATTCACACAGTATATCCAGTCGCAAAATGAGCTTGTTTGTGATGTTGGTGGTGATAACCCAAATTTTGAGTGTGTGCCACCCCAGGGTCACCTTGCATCAGGCTGACCCGCAGCCGAAGGAGTCCTACTGACTGTCTATAAGATTCACCATTTCAGAATTAGTTCTGAATAGGAACAGGCCGGAGAGCCTGATCTGACAAGGTAAAAGAAGAAGAAAAAGCGAACCTTGTCAAAAATACTTAACTATAATAATTTTAAAGGTTCTGGAAAAACACATCTATCTAGAGGTACACTGTGATTTTGTTTTTGGCAAAGGTGAACACTGCCACAGCAACTGGAGCGTACTTACAAGTATCATTATTGCTGTCATCTTCTGCTCCTATTCACAACTACTCACTACAATACACAACATGAGAATAACAATCCTTAGACTTTTATATAAAAGAATACAGTTAACATCCACAAATGTTTATGCTTTTGATTTTAACAGTCACATGTACGAGGGTAAGTCAATAAGTAAGTTACAAATGGATATAGAACTTAAACAAATAAGAGTACTGATTTGAAAAATGCTTTTATTTCTCAACATAATCTCCCTGTACACTGAGGCACTTGTCCCATCGTTTCACAACCCCCTGGAAACCAGCAGCATAGAATTCTTTGGGCTGCTGTTGGAACCAGGCGGTAACTTCCCTTTCTACGACTTCATCGTTGGGAAAATGTTCAACCAAAAGATGATGCTCAAGAGGGCCGAACAAATGGAAGCTCCTTGGAGCAAGGTCGGGGCTATACGGAGGATGCTTGAGGACTTCCCACTTGAAATTTCGCAGCATCTCATGTGTCTTATTGGCAGTATGGGGACACGCGTTGTCATGCAAAAGCAACACGCCTTTTGTGAAGAGTCATGGTCGCTTCCATTGAATGGCCTTATGAAGTTTCCTGAGGATATTACAGTAGGAGTCAGCATTTTCAGTTTATCCTTGAGGCTGGAATGCGGTGTGCAGTATGCCTTCGTGATCCCAGAAGACTGTGAGCATCACTTTCCTGGAGGATGGTGTCACCTTAAACTTTTTCTTGGCAGGCGATGCAGGATGTTTCCAATGCATTGATGCACGCTTTGTCTCAGGTGTGAACCCAAGACTCATCACATGTGACAATTCGGGCTAGCATACTGTAACGTGTTTTGCCACTGAAGACGCCATTCAGATTGTTAATTGGTTTATTTAACAACCTACAAGATTTAAATGCAAATACTTATAAGACAGTTGAGGGTTTACACAATTTATACACCCTACACAATAATCTGTTCACTCTATCTTCAGTGGTCTTCACTGATTCACAGTACAACAAGGCGACTGCTAGACTTATGCTGCACTTGGCGACTTCACTATCCGCACTGTGTCACTCCTGATCACACACTGTCTCACATACTGCTCAGCTGGCTTTTTATACTGTTCCCTGTTGCCTCGTGTTACCAGTGGTGTCCCCTTGTTACGTCACAGTGGGAAGTGCTGTTACGTCACCGCGGGGGAGGGGGTCGGTGTGTTGATTGGCCTGTTACCGTAGCAGCGACAGTGCTCCGATATTACGTCACCGCTGACAGGGGAGGGGGTGTCCTTCATAGTGCAAATATGTCACACTATCATGTCCATCATGGTAGCAATTGAGATACTGTAATGCCAGACCCATTCTTTTCATTTTGTGTTGTGGGGTGTGGCACCCATCATGCACAGACTTTGTGAAAATCTAACCTGTCATGCATTATGAGGTAGGCCATGCCATGTGATCAACCAATAGCAGTGGCTATAGTGTTTATAGTTACCCTTCTGTCTGCTTGGATTAAGCCTTCAATCCATTGCACAATCACCTCTGTGGCAATCTCCATTGGCCAGCTGACACAGTGTTCGTCTTCGATATGTGTCCGCACTTCAGAGAACTTCTGCTCCCAATTGTAAACAGCTTGACATGACAGGCACTTCTCACCATAGATGGGAAGCATTTCTTTATGAATATTCTTTAATTCCATACCTTTTGCCCACAAAAATCGCACAAAGGAGTGGTGCTGCTCGAGGGTTGTACACTCACTCAAAGGCGCCAACATCTTGCAACTGCTGTTTCGCTTTTGTAAACATCGATTGTCTCATGTCAAATGTCATCAATTGCCACTGGACTAATGCTGCCATCTAGTGGCGATAGCCTCAAACATGTAGTACCCCACATCAATTTGTAACTTACTTATTGACTCACCTACATACTTAAACACAGACTTGATAAACTTTGATGTCAAGCAATATGAGGCTCCAGAAGGCACTAGTTTTATTTGAACAGTTGTGGGTATGTGTGTGTGTATTCCATATGCCTTTTTACAAGGATTTGTGTAGGAAGGACCTGAATGCACTGAGGTTGCATTGATGACATACTTTATTGTAGGCGTGTGGAGTGGTCGACAGCAGAAGACAACTTGCTGCTACTGTGCAAGGTTGCGTGCACATACTTGTGTCCCACACCTCGCAAGCAGGTTGTCACTCTCCCGACGATACGAGATTATATGCACCAGATATGCCCTGTAAGTAAATTACAAGACATGTGTTCATGCTTGAAATTTCTTGGGTAGTTGAATTCAGGAGTAGCTTGACAGCTTGGAATTTCAAACTACTTAATATTATGATTTGTATACAAAATATGTAAACAAATGTCTTATGAGAATGACATTTGCATGTAACAGCTGCAAGCTCACTTAACCCTTCATTTCAGTTATTGTCACTTCATACATAGCACTCCTAGTTCAGTGGTAATGATCAGCTCATATTTTGAACTGTTGTTTTTCATGTGAAGTAATTCTTTTGGTATGAAACGAAAGAAAAAAATGTAGGCTGTCATTTTATATTTGTATTGTCTCCTTTCATCTTCCCATGGCATTTGTATTATACAGTCAACTCTCGATTATCCGGGCTAATGGTGGGGATGGAAGTCACGGTTAATCGAAAACCCGGTTAAGCCAAATTTTATTATACGGGCTGGACGACTGTGAAGGGTCGGAGTTCGAGTCCCGGTAGGGTCAAGAATTTTAACTTCTCCAAATCGTCCAGACCGGCTCTGGGGTCCATCCAACCTCCTATCCAATGGGTACCGGGGGCTCTTTCCCCGGGGGTAAAGCGGCCGGGGCGTGAAGCTGACCACTCACCTCCAACTAGTGCCGAGGTCAAGAAAATTTGGATCTATACATCCACTCCCCCACACGCCTTAATGGCGTAGGGCTTAATTCGTTGAGCAGAGGAACAACTTTACCTTTTACCTTTTAATACCTTCATAATACTATAGACCTACCTGTATTTAAATTTATTCATCCTCATTTCTATGTCATCTCATGGCCTATTTAATACTTTCTTTACATTACACTCAGTATGAATTAGTTATTTCAATCACTGTTCAACAACATCCAGCACTTTTTACGGTCACACTTAACACTTAAAATAATTTAATACTGTCTTTTGCTTTTTCGCGGCATTTTCCTTTTTACGGATATCCGTACGAAGCCTACGTAATATTAGCTTGTCACTTAATAAACTGTCCTCTTCACTCTCAAGATAGTCTAGTAAGGATTCCAAATGATTAAGCGCAGCACCATGTGATACTTTCTTACTGGCAACACTGTCCACCTCTTCCTCATTCTCACTTTCTTCCCGCTCTTCTGGCTGCACCCCCATTGAAGTTACGATTTCGTCACTGCTTAACATTTCGAAGCCCGGTTCACACGAGTCACAGTTAAACCACTCTCTTATATTTTCCTCGTTGACTTCTTCACCACCATGAACTTGGTTAGCCACTTTTGTCAATTTTATGGCTATCTCATTTTCACTGAATCCAGTGAATCCATGGATTTCGTCATCTTCATTAGTGATGAAAGGCATCAGTTTCTTCCATGAATTTTTCAATACAGATGGCTTTACTGTATCCCACGCTGTTGAAATCTCGTATATGGCATCTAATACTGAAAAGGACTTCCAGAAACACGTCAGATCATTGCCTTCATCGATGTACTTTTGTAGCAAATTTGATCTGTAGATTCTCTTCATACTTGAGATAACTCCTTGATCCATTGGTTGGATAAGTGCGGTAACATTAGCGGGAAAATATTTCACAAAAATATTTCCATCATCTGACCTCAGGAGACTTTCGTTAGGATGTGAGGGCGCATTGTCAATGAGGAGCACAGCTTTCTCAGGTAGGCCTTGGGATTTTAGATGGTCACGAACTTGAGGCACGAATTTAAAATCAAACCATTCTTTAAATATCGCTCTATTCATCCAAGCTACTTTCTGGTTAAAATAATGGATAGGCAGACTTGAAGCTACTGTTCCTTTAAAAGAGCGTGGTCTTTTCGCTTTGCCGATAACTACTGGTATTAGTTTGTGTGTTCCTGATGCATTAGAACAGCACAAGACTGTCAATCTCTCCTTACTGGATTTGTGACCTGGAGCCTGTCTTTCATTTTGAAATGCCAATGTTCTGGTTGGCAAGCATTTCCAATAAAGACCCGTTTCATCGGCATTATAGATTTGTTCTGGCAGCAGATTTTCACTTTTCACAAAACTATCAAAATTGGTGCAAAATTGATCTGATGCTGACAAGTCCCCTGACAATTTCTCACCTTGAATACTGATTTCTCGTATTCCATGACGCTGCTTGAAACGTGTTAGCCAACCGGAAGAAGCGTCAAAACTCCCTTCTAGTTCAAGTGCTTCGAAAAAATATTTAGCTTGTTTAGCACAAACTGGTCCTGTTATTGTTGTTCCCTGTGCCCTTAGTTGATTAAACCAGGTCAGCATCGCTTTGTCGAGATCATCGTATGTTGATTTCTTCATGGTTTTTCTCTTCTTCATTCCGCTTGAATTAGAAGACGAAGCAAAGGAAATTAACTCATTCTTTTGTTTTTTCAAATCACGAACAGTTTGTTCTCCAATACCGTATTGCATTGCTAATTGTTTAACTACAGCTCCTTTTTCCAGCTGATTGATAATTTCAAGTTTCTGTTGAATACTTAACACAACACGCTTCCTTTTAAACCCCGACATTTTGCTAACGCACTTGAAGATCTATATTAAGAAACTGATACTTACTTTCACAATGCACTCTCACACTGAGATGGTACCGTTAAATAACCTGGGGCGGTGTATTTGTCCTTGAAACTTTCCAAAAATTCTTGCATTCTTTCACCCCCACCCTAGAACATTGTGTTCGCATAACGGGACGAAATAATGCAGAGCTCGGTTCACACTAGTGCGAAAATAGTGTTAAACTCACCATGTGAAACAAAAGTGAATGAATATTAAACAACATATAAACTTAAAAAAAAAAGCCCCGGTTAAGCCGCAAACCGGTTAATCCGCCCCCGGATAATCGAGAGTTGACTGTAATTGAATTCTTTGAAAAAGTTCCTTACCTCACTAGTTTATGCACTGCATTCCCATATGAACCTATCTCCACCCTTGGGAATTTGGAACAGTGATCAATTGTGTGCTGTCCCTGCATAAAAATTGACCCTGTTAGGGCTTTGCAACTGTTATTTCATGATCCACACAGTGCTGCTTTCACATGGGTTTTGAAATCACAAGAGATATGCAGCTTCTACAACTTTGAACTTGACACATGATCTGGATGCAAAAGAAGTGTGTTATGACTGCCATATGGGAAATGGTAACGCTTGTATATGTGTTCTGTAAATGTTCATCAGGCAGTTACAAGGGAAGCACTATCAAGAAGTGATCAGCTTTGTTGTCTCATGAAGCAGAAGCAGGAGAATATTCACTTCTAAGTGAATCAGAAGGAATTTGACGCTGACAATGAAATGGATGATCCTGATCTTGATGCTGTGGTAAATGATGGCATCAGTGACGATGACAGTATTACTCAGGACTTTGTTTGGGAAAACGTGCAAAATTATAAGAGACTAAAGGAGAGTTTTATGGCAGTGTTGGACCTCACGGGGCTGCAAAACATGTGACAAATTGTGGACATTTTAAAATTGTTTTTTGGTAGATCATTATCAAACATGACTGCCAAAGAAACAAACAGATAGTACAGGGTGGTTTCCATGTAGGTAAGTCAATAAGTAAGTTACAAATGGATATAGAACTTAAACAAATAAAAGTACTGATTTGAAAAATGCTTCTATTTCTCAATATAATCTCCCTGTACACTGAGGCACTTGTCCCATCATTTCGCAAGCCCCTGAAAACCAGCAGCATAAAATTCTTTGGGCTGCTGTTGGAAGCAGGTGGCGACTTCCCTTTCTACAGCTTCATTGTCGGGAAAATGTTCAGCCAAAAGATGATGTTTAAGAGGGCCAAACAAATGGAAGTCACTTGGAGCAAGGTCAGGGCTATATGGAGGATGCTCAAGGACTTCCAACTTAAAATTTCACACCGTCTCATTTGTTTTGTTGGCAATATGGGGGCGCACGTTGTCATGCAAGAGCAACATGCCTTTGGAGAGGAACTGTAAATGCCAACTCCTACTGTAACATCTTCAGGAAACTTCGCAAGGTCATTCAACAGAAGCGACCAGGACTCCTCACCAAAGACATGTTGCTCTTGCTTGACAACGCGCATTCCCATACTGCCAACAAGACAAATGAGATGGTGCAAAATTTCAAGTGGGAAGTCCTCGAGCATCCCCCATATAGCCCTGACCTTGCTCCAAGGGACCATTTGTTCAGCCCCCTTAAACATCATCTTTCAGCTGAATATTTTCCCCACGATGAAGCTGTAGAAAGGGAAGTCACCGCCTGGTTCCTACAGCAGCCCAAAGAATTTTATGCTGTTGGTTTTCAGGGGCTTGTGAAATGATGCGACAAGTGCCTGTACATTGGTACAGGGAGATTGTGTTGAGAAATAAGAGCATTTTTCAAATCAGTACTCTTTACTGTTTAAGTTCTGTATCCATTTGCAACTTACTTATTGACAAATGGATAATTTCTATAATTCACCATCTCTTGCCAGGACACTGAAAATCATACACAAGATGGACTGTTTAGTACATTCAAATTGGCCCAAAAGAATGTTCCTGTAGACGTGAAAAATAACAAGGCACAAAGGAATAGGTGAAATCATATCACAGTATTCTGCACCTGCTTCTGTCACAAAATGAAGTGAAAAAAATGTGATTGTGAGTTCCGCATATCACAGTCATGACACCAGGACTGATACAATTAGAGGCAAAGAAGCAGTCAAACCTGTTTCAGTGTTGGATTACAACCAGTTGATGACAGGAGTTGATTTGGAGGACCATCTCCTTCATTTTTATTTTCATAATTCGTTGATTGAAGAGAATACTTGTAAGTAAATGGTATATGAAGCTCTTTTACAGGCTCTTGAATACCTCTATTCTGAAAGCAATGATAAAGCAGTGTGGATCAATACTCTGATTGTATGTACTTTTCTGAACATAGTGTGAAAATTATAATTAGAATGATCAAATCAAAGACAATGAGGTGGGCAGGGCAAGTAGCACAAATGGGAAAGACAAGGAATGCATATAGGATATTCATGGGAAAGCCAGAAGCAAAGAGACCACCAAGAAGACCAAAGTGTAGGTGGGTGAACAGTATTCAAATGGATCTTAGAGAGATAGGATGGGATGGTATGGATTGGATTGATCAGGCTCAGGATAGGGACCAGTGGAGGGCTCTTGCGAAGACAGTAATGAACCTTCGGGTTCAAAAAAATGCTGGGAAATTCTTGATTAGCTGCAGATTTGGCTTCTCCTCAAGAAGGGCTCAGCTCCATAAGTAAGTAAGTAAGTAAGTAAGTGTGAAAATTAGGAAAAATAATTCCAGTTGTTCCTGATTTATTACAGTTTAAGTGAAATTCTGCGTTTTCGGTATTAAATGTCAAAATATCCTCTGTCCCCGAGAGTGAATAGGAATTAAATGTCCTGCATTGTTGAAGGGTTAACAAACAAGAAACATACTCCGGAAGTGTGTGATCATATTGGTCTGTAATAATCTGTACTTCATATCATTGATTTCTTATATTGCCCTACAGAAGGATATGAAGAAGTTTTTTTCTTTTATTTAGTTTATGATTTATGTGGTAATTTTTATAGTAATCAGCGAAATTATGATGAGTTAGACATGTTGTTTGTTTTAGAGAAGAGATACATATAGAATTCTGTTTCGGAATCTTCAGAAGCAGCCACTTGTAAAATTGAGATGATGATGATGATGGTGGTGGTTGTGTTGGTGGCAGTGGCAGTGGTGGCAGTAGAGGGAGGAATGTTAAAGTAGATTCCCAGGAAATATGTTATGATGTGATGTGGATTTAAGTGGGAGTATGATAAAACTTTGTCTGAAATTATAGATTGTTGTTGCATGTATTAAGAGAACACTGCTAGTAGAGACCAAGTTCTCATATCCAATCTCTACATCATATATGTCCAGGCTTCCCGGAATAAAACATCTCGTGCTTGTCAACGTCGGATTCTGTACATGATGAAGAACCCGGCTACAGCCCACAGTGTTGCCCTCCATCTAGAAGACGTACGTCAGGATCCAAGCATTATCAAACAGTTTGGAGTAAGTCAGTTTTGTGTGACATTTCTTACTTGTTATGGATAACACTCTTCAACAGTAAAAATGTAAATCGAACAAAAGTAGCCAGTTCCTATCAATACTGTGGTGCTGATAACATATATGAAAAGAAAATTTAAAATTAACGCTAGTTTTCATTTTACACAGGTTGGTAACAATAAGGGAAATTTATGCCAAGTTAGGGAAAATTTCAATACAGGGCTGGCAGCATTGTAAGAATTCCCTCCATTAAGTGATGCAACAATCAAAGAGGGTATTTTTATAGGTCCACAGATTTGGGAGCTTTTCAGAGACCACCAGTTCGATGAAATCCTACATGGTGATGAGAAACCTCCATGGGAAAGTTTTCAGTATGTTTGTTTCCAGTTTTTAAGAAAAAACAGAGCACCAAATTACAAGGAGCTTGTGGATGAGCTGCTGTCATGCTATGAAAACTTGACTGTAACATGTCTGAAAATCCAGTTCCTTCACGCCCACATTGACTTCTTCCCCTAGGATTGTAGAGCAGTAAGTGATGAACATGGCGAGCGATTTCATCAAGATATTGCAACCTGGAGAAGAGGTATGGAGGGAAGTGGAGCCCTGCTGTTTTAGCAGACTACTGCTGGACTGTCACCAGCGATGCTCCAGAGTTATCCTGAAAATGAAAAGCCAAGCGAAAATGCTCAGCATAAGATTAACCTCATGCAAGACTCTTGACAGAGTTATGTTAGAACACTTGCTGTAAAAATGTAGATGCTAACCAGAATATATTTCACTGTAATATTCTTTTCTTCATTTATATTTTTGGTCTGCTGTATGTATGTATGTTTGTAAGGCGTGGGCCATAAAATCCAGCCCTCACACTGCGACCTTCAATGATCTATTGTGCTTCCCCTTTGGATTAACCCTTTATTAATCCTACACTTCAAATGAAATGTAGGACTTTATTTATGGGGGCATCATAGTAGTCACTTGGTTCCATGAAGAACTGGCCCAGCTGAGAAAATCATAAGTAAGCTATGGCCTCACGATCACATAGGATATGTGTGGCTGATTCGTCTTTTTGTAGGCACCTTTCACAGGTTGGGTCATCCATCATCCCAGTTTGAAAAGATGTCTTAGGTGGCAGTGTCCGGTAAGTAATCCTACCACCCGTCCTAGTTTTGGTCTGTTGGTTTATCTTTATTATCCTGTGAAAGCTTATTTTAGTACAGAGTTCTTTCGTGTAATCTTGTATGTAAAAAAAAACTTGTGTTTTTCTATTTTGATTTAGTTTTGTTTTCAATTTTTTTAATTTGATATTTGAAAATGATGATTGAAATTTATCAATGTCTATGATTTTGCACCATTTGAATAATTATTCACTTCAAAGTTTGACAGATCTTTTGTACTAAATATTTTTTGGAATATATTTTTACATCTTCAAATGCGTATTTTGATATTATAATACAAAGCACTTATTTCTGAAACTGGAGCTAAGTATTCTTTTATGATCATATTATGCAAAAATGAATGTAAAAAAACAAAATTCAAAGCATTTACAAACTTTCAGTCAAAATTCGTTGACCAGTGTGATCACAGCGTAGTATACAAATTCAGAATTACGTTTCATTTCTCCTCAGTAAGAAAAGTTTGGAATATATGAACAGTTAAACAATTTTTTAACTTTTCAAAAACATTAACGTAGATGAATTTTCCTTCAACTTTTAAGAACATAAAACAATTATATCCCTAGTCTCATTACACTTTGTGATAAACAACAGATAATGCCATAAAACTTCTTCCTTGGGTTTGATCCTGGTGTTCAAGGTATGCAGTATTGTGTATTCTCCAGATATAAAATGTTTCCTGAATGAACATGTGCAGTTGTAATAATTATTTTATAATTCGTGTTTTGCTGTTATAGAGTACAATGAAGGAGTTATGTGCAAAGACTGACAACACAGAAGAATTAGAGAAAATGGCTGGTGAGAAGTTTAAAGCTTTGGTCAATGTTCTCCAACGTAAATTTAATCCTCAGCCTTCAGACTACAGGGTGTTGCAAAAAATCATTCCTGAGTGTCCAGCAGAATTCAGGTTAGTTCAAGTAAAAATACGAAGAATTACCTATATTGTGTTTATTGCATTGTTGTTATAAACTACTATTTTGCACTACACCTTGCAGGAAACTGTATGAGTTGGTATATCCTTCACCAACGCTTAAGAAAAGAGGACGTTTTCAAGATGTGAAAAATGTGGTGGACATCTACTGTGCTGTTGTGAATGCTATTATTCACGTAAGTTTCAGAGGTCTCTTGAAAGGAATCACACACTAAATCTGATACAGCAAGAAAGTAGTGCATGTATTGGTGGCACAAAGACTGCTATTGGCATATCAGTAATATATGATATATATATGTAATACATATTTGTGTTACTGTACATACACTCCTTGATTTATGCAACAGTTATATCCCCAAAATGAAAGAAATCTCCCCACCTTTCTAGATTGGCCAGTAAGCCCTTAGGATTAAAGCAAGTGCCATTAATGAGGCCGCACCATAGCTCAAGTGGTTAGTCGCTGGCTTCCCATCACGGTGGCCTGGGTTCGATCCCAGGTCTTGTCAAGTGGGATTTGTGGTGGACAAAGTGGCGCTGGGGCAGGTTTTCTCCAAGTACTTCAATTTCCCCTGCCAATCTTCATTCCACCAATTGCTCCACAATCACCCTCACCTATCATCTGGGGCTGGTACAGTAGGCCAGAAGTGGCCGCAGTACAGGGGACTTAGTCCCACCCCACTAGCAATAAGAAAAGAGTGCCACTAATTGAAGCCAGTCCAAATTAGTTGATTGCTTTAAAGTGAAATCACATTTTTCAAACTAAAATGTATTGAGGAGTGCATGTATTCAGATTGTGATATTGTGGGTTATGACACCATGTAGTCTGATAGCTGATATGTCCTTGGGTTGTGCCACCATGTACTTTGGTAGGTGATTACTTCCCATGCTGTGCAGTATCAATCTGGAAGACCATGCTCTAAATTTTCACTGCCATGAAAGCTTAAAGTCTTGAATATAATACTGTATGAAAAAGTTACATAGTTCCGTCCAGTGTGACTGGTTAAGATTTCATTCATGCGGGCCACAAACACATACAGGACAACATTAAAGAACCCTCTTCTCAAGAACGACAAGGCAGCACACATTTGGCGCCACCATCAAAAGAAATAATAAGAGGGACGACACGAACCAGCTTGGTTTGCGAATTCCGATAGAATCTTAAAAAACTAACTATTAATATTCTAATGTATTGGAACAGCCACTGTAGTTGTAAAGACTTCAGATTTTACACCCAATTGTATATTATTTATATTATATGTATATATTTTAACTTTTAGAACATGTACTGTAATAGTGGTTTCTAACTGTACTGATGTAAAGGTGTCCTTCTGAAGATGGTCTCTGAAGACCGAAACATGTAAGGGCATGAATAATTGAAATAAGAAAATCTTAACCAGTCACACTGGACGGAACTATTTAACTATTTCATAATATTAGTGTGACAGACCAGAATGAAACAAATCCAAAAAAAAAATAATACTGTATGTTTAATTGAAGAAACTTTTCTTATATGTTCATTTGTGAATGGTTATTCTGATAATTAATAGTCAGTCTGTTACTTTATTTCCTTCAAATGCAATTTTATTGTACTAGAGCTCACTCTGCTGTGTTACGGACAAAACTTCATACACATACCAGCTGTTCCAAGTTTATCAGCAGTATCCTGACACCCTGCTTCGTTCTGCTATGGCTAAGATTCGTTCTGACCAGATGGTCTCGCTGAAGAAGAGTTTTGTGCGTCTGAAACAAAAGACTGGAAACTACTTGCCGGTTTCTTCATCTCCTTATCAACTTTCCATGAGGTGAGGACATTCCTTGGAGCCCATGGCAGCTCTTGCTGATATGCCTGTAACACATTTTGGAATTCTATAAAAGTTGAAGACATCTCTTCCTTATTCACTTAAGGAAAGTCCTCGAAATTTATCATAAGTTCTATTTTATCCCTTGCATTATACTCCGGTTAGGGGCTTGCAGTAGCATTGTTGGTTAATGCATTATGCTACAAGCTGGAAGGGCACAGGTTTTAATCCTGATAAGATTGATTTTTTTCAATTGATCTAATCCAGCCGCACTGCGGCCCTGGGGTTGACTCAGCCTCTAACAGAAATGAGTACCAGGAATCTTCCCGGGGGTAAAGGGCAGCCGGCGTGTAAGGCTGACAGCTTTGCGGCCTTTATGAGCTGATTGTCTAGAGAAAATGTGAGAGTCTTGACGTCTCACAACCCTATGGGCCTTCACAGCCTGTTACAGGGTAGCTTTACCTTATTTTATTATACTTCTGTTTGTTGCATAATTTATCACATAACCTTTTTCGTTTTAATATGTGTAACCTTTAATATATATGTCCCAAGGTAAAATTTAAATTCAAACTCCAAAGTAAGAAGCCCTTCCAATTTGTGAAAATTCAGTCAGGTCCCCCTTTAATGTTTCTTTTTATGTAGTGGATTTGAACAATGAATTGAGGAAAATCATAAGTGGATGTAAATTATTACTGAAGTAATTAACGTGGGATTATTGAAACTGAACATTGAAAACCTTAAATCAAGGGACATTAAATAGAGTTCTGCTGTGTAATGAATGAGTGACTACATTTGGGAGTAGATAATACTAATCAGAAACTCTGCATTCGACACATAGCGGAAAAGCATGGACATTTGAGCATAAATGTGCTTTCCTGTTGCATAGATTTCCAGTCCTATAGATATATTACAGTTGTTATTGGTATTGTTTTATTATGACATGAGTACAGATTCTGTCTATGAAATTCGTCTCATAAGACATCATAGTTTGGCACCATTACCTTGTTTGTAATTGTCGACTTACAAACAGTAGATTTCATATTCCTGGCTCCAGTTGTTCATTAATTACTGCCATCAATCCAGAAGTGAAAGAATTTTTTCATGTCTGTGATGTCACTGTTTTACATTTTACAAAATACCTCAAAATTTTCCTATTTTTCGAAAATCTGTTGCTATGCATAGTTTCCAAACCCTAAACTGTGTGATACTAGTGTCACTCCCACCTCACAGGCTTGGACATCTGTCATGTTGCCATTACTTATTTTAGGAAACTATAGAGCATGACTTTAGGTGGCATCAGATGGTATAACACCATCTTGTAGTGATTGATTTACAGGGTGCTGCTTGAATTGCTTCAGGTATCTGGAGCTACAAGTGATGTGGGTGAAAGTAGCAAGAAAGCTAGGGAGACAGGAACATGAGAAGCTCAGGGCGTGATTTATGTGGGTGGAAGTTAATCTGCAGAGAACAATGATGAAGTTGATGAACAGTTAATTATTTATGATCATGTTAATATGATTGCATTGTTTTGAGCTAGTATACTGTGGGTCAGTCAGCCATGTTACTTGAAAGGGTGGGCTCCAGGCACACCCAGACAGTTCCAATGCATGTCTTCAAGTGCCTCAGCAGAGAATTTACACACCGCCAACTTCACATGTGGTTCCTATCACGTTTTGGGGTGTAAGAGTTTAGCAGTCCTGTCCAGGAGACTAATAATTACCCATTACTATCAAACAGCCGACTGTCTGTTGCCAGTGGACTTAGGAAAATTCCCATAGAACAGAGTCTTAAAAGTTTATAACACTGCAGTACATGGTTATGGTATCTCACTTCATTCATGATTGAAGTAAACACAAATTTAAGCGGCCTCCATAGTCTAGAGGTAACGTTCCAACCTCATGACTCATAGTACGCGGGTTCAAATACCTGGCAGAGGTCGTCAAATTTTTAAGGGCGGAAAAATTCAGGTAAGAAGTCCTCCGGGAGGGACTTTAAGCCGTGGGTTCCGTGTCGTAGCTTTACAGCACATAAAAGAACCTCATATCTCCAAAGGAGGTCACTGAGCCAAATTAACGGACGTTTCCCACCCAACAGCAGTCTCTAATACCTCTGGTAGATGGGGGAAGCATTATAGATACCTCTCAGCTAGTAGAGCCGGTCTCGCTGGCTGGGCGGGACTGATGGTAAGCACCAGTACCGGTAGGATATAGAGACTGGTAGAAATCATAGAGGGAAGCACAATGGACCAATACAGGTCTCAGTGCATGGGGAATCCCACCCTCTCCAATAACTAACTAACTAAACACAAATTTAAATTTTGATCGAGTAAAAATAAAATGTTAATGGCTTCCATCAGATTTCAAGAGAGCATGAAAGCATGAAAGTTCTTTCCAGGTTCCATGAAAATCAACCAACTGATCTAGAAGATCAAACAGGGGACACATGTGCACAGTATGGTGATCTCATTAGCCTACTTTTCTTCCGTGAAGAAGGAAAGCAGGCTACAAATTGGTATACAGTACCTGAAGAAAGCTTATGGCTAAATTGGGAGAGAAGAACTGCCCAGAATCCCACTGAATCTGATATTCCCATGAAATGAATAGTACTAACTCAAGTGCACTTAAATTGAAATGGCAGTTGTTCTGTCTGATGCTGTGAAACAGCTTTCCAAAAAATTAGGAACAACTGGATTTGAATGAGACACATCAGCTTCTGGTTTGTGCTGATGGTTGTAATTTTATTGGTTGAAAATATACATGGGGCAATCCAAAAGTTTCCGAAATTTGAATTTTGCGCGCGAATGGTTATGAGTACATCGAAATACCTCTAGGTATCTCCTCACACATTCTTGAATCAGTGTGGCAAGCGGCGTCGAGTTGAGTGGTTGGGTTTATTGTTGGTGAACATATTTCCATTGTTGTGTTTCCATGAGTTTGCAGTTTTGCGATGGCTGACCTGAGAGAGCAGCGTGTCTGTATAAAGTTTTGTT